AAAAAAAAAAAACAAAAAAAAAAAAACCAGAAAATTGATAACAAAATAAAAATACAAATACAGGAATGTGAAAAAGGAACACTGTACAGATTTACAAAAAAAAAATCAAAAAAAAAAAATCCCCAAATTCACCAAAATCTCTTCCAGATGGGATTCTTTTCTAGATGTCCACTCTTGTCGAGGTTTACGGGGCTGGTAAAAAAATAAAGAGGTACTGATCGGAACGTGCTGTTTAATTATCGTATCAAGCATCCCTTCAACAAAAAAGTTTTCAGTTGTCACGAAAAAGTTTCTGGGGTCCAAACAGAGGTGGCGTCAGGGAGGGGGGTCGTCCGTCGGGAAGGAAAAAAAATTGTAGGGGAAAAATTATTATGTATTTTCTACATAGACCTATATAGACTCTAAAATCGACTCGAAATACGGTACCTTTGAAGCCTTAATTTGTTATATTTTTCGGGGCTTCGCCCCCCTGGCCACTTACGAAGATATTGACTCAACGACCCCATTTCATTCAATTCATTTAATTTATTTCGACCAATGTACGTTTTCTTAAATGCACATTTTTAAAAATAGGTACAAAACTACATACTTACTATAGGCCTGAATGTACTATATAGACCTATAGTCGAAGATTATAACCCCCACATTCGCTAATACAATACGTAAATAAGGAGTGCCTTACGGATTATTAGACAACTGTTTTTGGAATAGTATAAAAAGCCTAATCCATGTTTTGTGTGTGTGTGCTTTTTTACGTTGTTAGGCCTATATTTAAACATGTATACAAATTAAAGAAACCGAACAACTTATAATGTGAACCCATACAAAACATCAAATCTTCCTTAATTTAATCAATTGTTCAACTTCAATTTCACAATCATTGCAAATGGCAAAAAACAAAGAAAGTTTATTTGTATTATTTTGTATTCCGATCACTTATAGACCTACTTTAAGAAGATTCTCATCCTGAATCTTTACGAACATGTTTGCATATTATTACCTGAAATAGATCCAACGCGCTAAGCAAACAAACAAGGTTAATAATAATGATTTAGAATATTTACGAGAGGTTCCTAGCAATATAAATTTGTGGAAATTTTATTTTGATTCCGTTTTGATTACGTTATTTTAGTTACGTTTTTCTTAAGTCTAGGTTTAAACGTTAGTGGGCTATGAAATTACGTGCACATGTATGGTTCTACAAAAAAACTTTTCTACTTATTTGTCGGCTTTAATTTAGTTACAAGTAATCACACAATTCACACATTTTTGAATTTTTAAATTAGGTTCCAAATTTTGAATCCGAACCAGGGCATAGACCTACACATTACAGTTCTGTGCATGTGTACTACTCACACGGATGGCCTGGCAATACCGAGTGCGCATGCTCGCAATTATTTCGGGAATGTGTAAGAGCGACCCACAATTCTTGATCGACAGCCATCTTTCTTCTTCCTGATTTTTGTTTTGTGCTGCTAGCGCACACAAAATATAGCCTAAAATCCTGTAACTGTGTTAGTAACAACACATTTTTTCATGGGATGATACTATTTATTGCCAGTTGATTGACTGTACTACGTTCTGAAAGGAAGTGAACAAAAATCATTGATTTCACTTTCATGGAACCGGAGTTTGTTGGGGATACCCTACGTTACGAACGAGCGTATCGGCATTGCCTATCTTTCGGAAGTCTGAACCGAAAAGGAGTTTACAGTTGAGGCGGAGTAGACGGTTGATCGAGTTTGGATAGAAGTTTCACTTTTTTGTTTATTGTTTATCGGCGTTCGTCAACCAAGTATAGTTTGGTTGATGAGGGAGGAAATTATATGTAAAATGCGTATGATAATGTATTGTAAATCGAAAAGCAATAGCCGTATTTTGGTTCTTAAGTGGTAGAAACAGTGTACATAATCATCAGGGAGTGGCAATCACACTGTCACTACCTAGAATAATACTAAAATTTTACCAACAGTCCTAGGCTAGGCCTAGACTAGCCAAGGCTGCCTGCAAACCCCCAGCTGCTGACCAGAATAGGAAACAACAGTTGTTGTAACTTGAAGCTCTATGATTTGGTTAAACATAGTCTAAACTGAGGAATAATGGATGCTGAGAGCAGACTGAAGACGTTGGAAAAGCTATACAGCAGTGGTGTGCAGAACAGTGATGGCCAAGCGGTCAGCACCGAAACACTGCTGGACATTTTTGTGCTGCTTTTTACAGAGTGTAGTAATTCAACTCTTAGAAGGGAAAAGTCCATTGCTGATTTTGTCAGATGGGGTAAGTTTGTGATAAATAATGTTTATGCTTGTAAGATTAAGAAGATTGGCCTACCACCGCCCTAACTATTCTACACTTAAGACATGATTGAGAAGTAGAGTACACTTTATTGTGTGAAGAATGCATGAGTGAGTTTACAAATTACAGTTCATTCTGGCCACTGGATATGGAACGATGCAGTTGACGTTTGGAGGTTAAATAGTAAACTTGCAAGATTTTATGAGGTGCACTGCCTTACAATAGTGTAAAAAATAACAACTATGTTGTCATTCTTGTAGTTATTTTTTATTCATGTTTTCTAACGATATGATTTCAGGGTGGCAGTAATATTTAGAGCATGCTTACAATTTGGAATATGAAACTTAAGCTAGCCAAAGTTCTCAAAAAAAATGTTATCACTGAAAACAAAGTAAAGCTGAGGTGTGGTTGATATGCGACGGCTGGCAATGGTAATCATGATTACTTCTCCATGTACCAAAGCAACTCTATACGTAGATTGTAGCGGTAGTCTACTTGTTGAATACTGTACTTACCTGGATAAACCAACTTAATTGCCTAATCCCTCCCAAAAGAGAACACCCCTCGAAAACAAAATGGAACAGTCAGCCCTGGCACAAGCAATTCCGCAACCATGCGACGTCCTCATTCTTTTTTGAAAGATTGTTGATAACGTATTAGAAAGAATTCTTGATATTTACGGGTGTTTATATTGGATTATTAACTACTTTGATTTTGGATATAAAAATCTTGAATCCAAGAGATAATATTATCTCTTGGATTCAAGATTTTTTGATGTGTTGTTTCAAACCATGTCTAAAACAGAGTGTTCTCGTTGCAGGGCCTGAAACCAAGTCCTACAGTTGACAATCATTGGTATTTGTGCCCTCATTGTCGTTCATGCAATGAGTCATCGCGTTGCGAGATTTGTGTTGTGTGGCCGCCATCTCGCTTTGTTACCATCCTGGCTTGGCATGCTGAGCATCCGCCTATTGTTTGTAATGTGGCCGCACCCACTGCTCTGGGGGGGGGGGCGGTTACATCGTCTCCCATTGTGGGATTTAGGGGTGCAGTTTCACTGCAGGTTTCGGCTATGTCTGCCGTGCACGCAGATCCTCCAATGGCACCAGAGGTTTCTTTAACCCCCGAAGTTATGCCGGCTATATCCGCGGCAGTGCTGGTAGCTTTGCCGCTGGCTTTGCAGGGTTCTTCCATGCCACCGTCGTCTGTTCCTATCATTCCTATTGTTCCGGAGCAATTGGAGGAACTTCCGTCATTCAATGATGAAGAGATGGTATCTCTATTGGGGAATGAAACGGATTGTGGTGAAGGGCTCCAGGCGCTAGTTAACAGAGTTGTGCCTTCTCCTGTGTGCCGATAAAATACGTAGATAGTACAGGTAACACAGAGAACTCATCCTGATCCTGTATGGAATAAAGTGAAAAGCATTGCATTAAGGTTTTGCAAGCAACTGGAAACATCAAAGTTTAGTTGCGGCCCTCTGTGTTACAATAAAAAATTCACTTTGGTCCTCCAACCCTATTTTATGCTGTCCCCTGAGGTAAAAGTAGTAAAATGTGATATTGCTGTACATAATTGTTCAAACCAGAATATTGCCAGTGTGAATTGAACATCAAGGAGAGGTGACTTACCATGGGCTGTGATGTAGTAGTGTGTGAACACTTATGGCACCATGGCCTACTGTACACTCCAAAAGTACAAAAACTTATTTACGGACGTTAAATTGTGTGCCTGCACGCCACAAACCTATGCATTACGATGACTTATCACTAGACTTTGTTGGACAGATAGTCTTGCATCATCTCAAATCTTGTTCAGAACATGTGCGTCAAGTATGTGCAAAGATTCGTAATTTCGGAAATGGGATTGGATACTGTATTAGATACCAGAAGGTCCACTGATTAATCTCAGTTAAGATAGTACAGTATAATACATGCTCCAAGTATCGAAATGCACTGCCATCGTGTCGGGATTCAATATTTGGACATTAATTATGTCATCATCAGGAATCATTCCTGATGATGACATAATTAATGTCGAAATATTGAATTCCGACACGATGGTGTGCATTTTGATACTTGGAGTATAATTTTACTATTGTATTAGATACCATACTGTATTATTCAAATAAATTTCCTGGGGCGTTTATTGTTGAGAAGGTTTTTTGAGGGGACTATTATTCGAGGGAGGTGTCTATCTGATACAATTTGACAAAATTTAATGTAAATAAAAATCGGTACAAAAACTCATTCTTCCATGTTTATTTTGGGTATAATAATACACCGAATGAGTCACCAAACCGAAGCTGTTACAGTGGGTATAACATCAAAACAAACCGCTAGGTGGCAGTTTTTCACACAATTAATAATCCTCCGTTCGAATACATTTTGTCAGTTTGACTCCTCAAACTTATTTATTTGTACATTTTATCGTAAAATGAGTTAACGAAAGCCTTGGTAAATAATTCTGAATCAATCGTCAGATTTTTGACCCGTTAGATTTGAAATGGAGTAAATAAACAGATGGAAAACTTGAACATTTTTGCATATCAGTAGCCTCATCGCGTGAACACGGGCCTAGCCCTAGACTAGAGAGTCATACAAACAACGTTCTTCTGACTCATTGGCCATCGTAGTCAAAAGAAACATCTTATTCTACAATTCATTAACTTAGGTTTGTCCAATAGTTTAAATATTTCTTACAGAATTGCAACAAATTGACTTGGTGACAGTATTTTAGCTGAGTGTGTACCTCTAAATCAACAGCGATCACCTTAGTCAGCGCTGGATGTGGCGAGTCCCGTGAGTGATTGGCCTAGGCCCCCTAGAAAGCCTCTCATAACTTTTCATATATTTAGACTGAATGGAAATTTAAAACACATCAACTTAGTCTCATAAATCTATGAATCATTCAAAATGTATCGTCGTTATGAAAAGTATCTTCTGTGCTAATTTCATTACATTTTAGACGACTTTAATACGCCACTTTTTTAAACCGCCGCTGCTCAGTGCATTAGGATATAGTAGCTCTTCGGCCAATAATTAATGTAAATTAAATCGGTACAAAAACTCCACCAGAACAAAATTTATAAAATGGGCTTTTTGTGGTCAAAGTAATGATCATTTATTTAATTACTGAACATTATCAATAAATGTCACTAAACAAATAATTAATGGAAATAGTTTTTATGACACTAGTTTACAAATGTGAAACTGTTTGAATGCCTAATAAAAATTCAAGTGACATGGGAATGCCTGTCCTGTTTGCTTTATTGGTTGTTGGTTATCAATTAGATATTATGTAAACATTTCCAGGACAAAAGTAAACATAATGAGCATTGACTACTGTAAAGCATTAAATTGATTTAATTGTTTTGTAAAATCCACTTAAAAACCTTAGTAACAACAGACATCAAATGGCCTGATAATTTGTAAACAATGGTTTTCCCATGGTGTTCTGCGTGGCAAGTGAAGAAAACTGAAGATTTTTCTTAGTTAATAATGGACGATTGGTTTTAAATATGTTCATTTTTGTTGCTAATTTTTTCAGATATTTCAATTAGAGCCTTTACAGTGAACAGAAAAATCTCACTTTTTGTGTATTAGTGGCGCAGTTTCAAAGAATAAAACTACAGTAGTGTGTGGTATACTGTACTGTACTAATTCATGATCAGTATGAAGGGAATAATAACACTTGATTATTCAGAAATCATTTAAAATTAGATCACAGTTAATTTTAGCTAATTGCACATTTTGTTGCAGGAAACTATAAAATCTAAAGTCGTATTTCGTGATGAAAATTTGCTGCCATGACAATGCTTAGGCCTACTGTAGCACTGTGTACTGGACAGTATTTATTAGGACTACCCTCACCACTGAGATGCTTCAAAAATTTCTGAATCTCTGAATTACAAATTTTTATGTTTGGACTGAGGGGTTCATAATTGGGATACTGTGGATAATAAATATCATAGTAAATTTTAAAGTGATGTTTGATTAATGGTTAATATCTAATATAATACAAATCAAATCGGGTCTAAAAAAACGGGGTTGCGCTATGATGCATAAGTAATTTTTAAAATTTGAATTAAATAGATGTGGAATTAAATCATTTCATCAGAAGAGACTATGTTATAGACCATAAATTATGAGACCATAAAATGATGAGACCATAAAATATTAAATTAATATCCTTTGAAATCACTATATAAAATTTGCTGATATTTTAAAAGTGAAATGAAAATGTCATAACTTCCCATGAAAATTTCAAAAATACCATGAAAACCTCTGCCAAGGCAACTTGTACTGTGAAGGAAATAGTATGACAAGGGCAGTAAATTGTGTTTAAATGAATCAGATTTGGTTGCTACTGTTACAGTATAACAAAAGAAACATTGTTTGTCATTGCATTCTGCAAACTATCTCTTATATACCACCACCACCACAGGTTTATTGTCATATTGCTTTGGTTCGGTGATGATTTATAAGTAGAATGCAACAGATATTTCTTTACAAGTTCTAGGCTAAGTACTGTAGATCCAAAACCAAAAAGTCAAAGTACTGTAGAAACGTTGTGCTTGTATTACAGCTGTACAGTAAGAAGATCTGTAGGCCCAATAAAAAAATCATTAGATTATTACACTTGCACTCATGCCTATTATGGTACTGGAAAAAAAATAATTTTTTTTTTTAAATTATTGTTCATATTATCTCAATAATGCTTTACTTTGAATATCAATGCACCAGCAAACACCCCAAGGGTCATATTTGACCTCAGCAAAAAAAAAAAAAAAAAAAAATTCTTCCTTCCTCATCAGTTTGCCAGCCTAGATAGGGTGATAAACTAAATATAATATTTTTCATAGGGCCTAATATCATCATTTAAAATCTAATTGTTAAAATGTAAACTGGTAGAAATAAACAAGGAGAGATCAAAATGATTGGTGTGAACAGGTAATGTAGAGAACGCAGTCATATTATTTCACCAAATGATGTATGTTGATGATCTTGTAAAGAGTGGATAGCCTGCATCCTTAAAAATTCCACTACCGGTAAACATGTTTTTCTGAGTATGACATTTAACACTTATGTCATTTTAATCCTCTTCTCTGCTCCCTCAAATTATTTTTTTGGCCAGTTCTGCCCAGTTTTTTAACTAATTTTCTTAACAAAAGGTGTCACAATTGTTGTGTTCAGGTTCTGCTACTTTTGGTTGGCGCATCGGTGGTGGCTTTGATTCCCAACCTCGAAGTCGGGGGTTCGAAACTCCCGCTATGCAAATCGCTTGTGTCCTTGGGCCTCTCTCCACCCAGGAGTACAAGTGGGTACTGGTAGGTTCCAACACAACTGTACAGATTACTAGCTGCAATATTAGAATAATAATACTGTATAATTTAATTTAATAATTTAATTTGGTGTTCAGTATGTGTTTGATCCAATGACCAGGGTAGTAATGTGAGGCGCTTAGAGGCTTTGTACATGAAGCGCTATATAAGAACGACATATTATTATTATTATTATTATTTAATGACTCTAGACTTTTTTAAAAATTGATATTAAATTCTTCAGATAGTTATAAAATATATTTCATGATTAGAAGTGAAATGGAATCCTCTGTTAAAATAAAACAATTTTATTAGTGACTATTCTAGATTCAGTTGAATCTATGTTTGTCATTGAAGGTGAATGCAGAATATATCATTGAATATGTCCTTGTAAACCAATGGTACTTCCTATTATAAGGTAATGAAGGAAATTGATTAATATTCAGTACTCCTCTCACTTACCTGAATCAATTGTTCTGACCAAGCCCTTCACCCAGTTTCAATGATTCTTCATGTTAATTAAGTCCTTCAAAAAGTTTTCAGTATTTCCAATAATTGGATATAATAATATTATTTCCTCTCCGGTGATGTTGTGTCAAAATATTCTGACCTTTTTTACACTTAGTAATGTTTTAGATTAAAAAAAACCATTGTTTAAAATCTTGTGTTTTATATAGTAATAGAACAATATGGTATATCACTTTACTCCAAAATTCGTAGAATCTCAATAATCAAACTCAGATCAAGTCATACATATACAAACATAGGCTTTAATTAAAAACTAATGAAACAAAGGTAAAGAAGATGTGTGGCAATTCACTCACAGAATACAAATTTGGAAATTATTATTACAGTAACTGTACTCTGCCAATTTATGCCATGTTTTACTTTAAAAAATATTTTTTTTTAACAATTTTACCTTGCTAAAATTTTTTCACTAAAAACTGTGCATTTTTGTTTCTTTTTTTTTTTTAAATTCGAAAACCGGTTTAAAAACTTGGGGATATTTAATGCCTGGCTTTGGAGGAAAAACAGTTTATATTGTACAACTGATTTTTCTACTGTAAAGCTTTGTCGATGGAATTTCATAAAAAAAGCATCACATAATATGTGATGGAACATACAGTAAGAGTGGAACATGTTCAACTTGTTTTGGAACAATTTGATAATATGTGATATCACGTCATCGTACCCATATATGGGCACATCACAATTTTTTTTGTCACATAAAATTTGATAGTGTAGACATAGCTTAAGACACTGAAGAGGTGTTTGACAGAAAACTCCGGAACCATTATTTTAAGGACTGGGGAAGATCTTAAATTCTTAGAAACTTGATTTTAATGCTTCAAATTTGTTTTGATTTCAGCACGACCCATTGTTTCCAAGATAACTGAGTTGCGTCTTCATCGAGATGACTTTGAAACACTTAAAGTTATTGGGCGTGGTGCATTTGGTGAGGTAAGAATATGTCAAGAAGTTTTATGTTTAGATTGTAATATTTTTATGTGATTATTTATTGACTTTGTGTATTTGCTTTTGTGGAAATTTGATGTACTGAATCAGACCGTATCCGGGGGTTTTAGGGGTTTGATGGGTGCATATGCACCCTCCTCCCCCCTTTTCCCACCAAATTAGAAAAGGTCCATATTTTTAAGGTAGTTCAGAATGTAATAAATTTATTTTCTAATATAATAAATACCGCTACTCAATGTACCTTTCTTGGATTATGATTGATTGAAGGCGTTGAAACCTGTACGAAAGCTAAGCTTCAATCCTACCACCGGGGATTTTTGGTGACCATTTTGAAGTGTGCGATTGACCTTCACTAACATTATACGCAGTTCAAACTAAAAAGTAGCTTAGGACAACAGTATTACATTCAGTATCGCCACATAGAGAGCATAGTAAAAAGTATTTCCGTTTGGAGATAAAATGATGTTAATTAATTTTATAGTCCGCTTTCTTTCATCATCGTTTTTTTTTCTTTCAACAACATTATTTGAATGTATGTTACCAAATTTTAACACAAGAAAATTGTAAAATCCATTCTAACAAAACTCTGAATATGACAATGATACCCATGGTTATAAAAATGAGAACAACATTAAATTTAAAGTGTGTAAAGTTGAATAATATATAGTATCATATTACTATATATTATTCAAGTTTACACACTAATGTTCTGCTCATTTTATGCCAGTCTGGGCTTTATTACTACTGTACCTACCAGTACAATAGGTTAGGCTTAATAGAAACAGTGAATTGTAATCATATAGATTTTCTATTATTATAGCCAGCGTTATCTGTGGAATTTCAGCTTTGGGAGCCGAGTATTGTTTTTGGCACCAGCACCAGTTGTTGGACTGTTTTTACTAGTAAATTCTATGACTTAGTATATCAATAGTGATTGTAATTGCAGTGAATAGCACACTTTAGAATTATCATGATTGATTTTTTTAAGGTTTTCCTGTTTGATGTTATATAGTGCTATATTAATTCTGCATTTAACAATCAATGCCCCTTACTGTTTAAAGTTCAGGTTTGATAAGTTGAATGAATTATAGTGAAAGTTATAATTATAGTGAATCTTACCAGAGCAAGATATAGCACGAGACAAAAGAGAAAATTGCGTAGTTCCATTATTAAATATGACATCCCTAAAATTTTGAAACATTTAGCATCTTTCAATTAATTTCCATACTCTCCATCTCAGCGTTTTTGTAGTTGTGAAAATATGTATTTCAGGTCCTGGGGAAACTCTGTTTTCTGAAATAGATTAATATTAAATTACAGTATGTAGAAGACAAAATTGTGGGTAGGCTTACTCATGGTGATGTATTTGTTCTAAATGATTTTTAAATTTAAATTATAATAAATAATCCAACAAGGCTTCTAACCCGCTTCGCAATAATACCCCGGTCAATGAATCAAACACGGTATGGAACACATACTTAGCTCTCTGGGGAGATTTCCATAATGTTGCAACTATCACCAGTGCATTTTGTGTCCAAACCGCCAGTTACTCATTCGTACCGTGTACTTCTGTGTGATGAGAGACAACAGTAGGTAAAGTAACTAACCCAAAAAACCCAAGGACACTAAATAATTCAATTCACGGCAGAGGATTAAACCCCCAACCGCAAAGTTGAAAAGCTAACCACGACCGCTACAGCAAACCACTCCTACATGATACATACAGCACTGTACCTGATCATTAAAACTGAAAGCTAATGTTTACTTTGTAATAATTGTATTCGTTTAATGTACCAGTTATATTCTTTAAAATAGCGCCACCAACAAATGAAAATTGACCCTTCCCAATCCTGAGCGAGCCTGCCTGGTCATATGCCATGTGCTACCCTAACAAGTGTGCACTGCTCTAATTGAAATTCTCGGCTAAAAACGATTGATATGTCTTGCTCTAACTAAAGGAAGATTTATGTCCATTTATTGGTTTAGAAGTTTTTATAATCGCAGATCATTATAAAAAATGAATAAAATTTATTGATCATAAAATTTAGTAATGAATGGTCTAAAAGGAAGAGGTGTTTAAATTTTGGTGTCAAAGGTCTTGGTCATTGAATTTTTTTGAAATCACATGATGATTGGAAGGATTATGCAGAAATTATAGTATGGACCATAATACGATTTATTGAAATGGTATATTTTGGTCTATAGAAGTAGTTACTACATTTTATGGTAAAAGGTCAAAGGTCAAGGAATTGAAAAACTATGATATATACTGATAGCACTTTTATCACAAAAAAAATGTGTTACAGTATCTCCTATGTACAGTACAATTTCACTGATTGACCTGGTGACTTTCACATTTTCTCGCACTTCTGACCTGATTTTTCTTGATTATTTACAGTACCTTCACATAAGTAGTATTGCAGTACAAGATTGTCTTTCAGACAGTATTTACTTTTGGATCATTGCTATGCAAGATGTAAATGCTGACTGATCTGGAGAATGTGCAAAGCATATCTTCTAAGGAGGAATAGAGACTGATATGCTATGGTTCATTTGTGGAATGATGTGAACATGTCGGGAATGCTTGTGCTTGGCACCAGGGTCGACAGATCAAATTTGTTTTCGAGGGGTGTCGGTTCATCCAGTATTCACTAAGTAGACATATCCACTTTAAGCACCTCTTTACGGCCACTAGGTAGTCATAGACCACACCCATACACAATTCAGCTCAATGACGCTGCAAGTTATGGGTTACTCTCCTACCTTTACCTCCTTTACCTACCGAATCTGAGGAAGAGATGCTCAGTAGTAACATTATATAGCTCTGTTGCGATGTACAGTAGTATGGTGTTCTATGGAAAGTAAAGGACAAACTAGCTATAGTTCTATAGGAATTTAAATGAGAAGTAGGCCTATTACAGTGGATAGTTACTGTACATGCTTTGAACAATTCTGTGCAGTAGCTTTTAGGAATTCCTAGCCATTTTCCAGGAACCAACAGAATGCTACAAAGCTTCAGCAGTACCTTTAACAGTTGTGACCTTGGAAACACAAAATCACAGTCCCTAAACACTGCTTGCATGACTAAACAGCTTGATGTCGGTATGCATGTGTTATGTGATATATGAATATGTAACTCACAACTATGAACTGAACAAGTGTGTTGATGGCATAGGTAGAATTACAGTTGCCTGTTGCCAGCATGGAATTGACCATATAATTTTACAATATCTCCACTTCTCAAATCATGAGATCATTACATATAAAGGGTAGACAGACTTGGGTTTATGATTCTATTCTAGTGAATGACTAATTCATAAAGAAGCTTCTTTTCAAAAGCATTACTTCCTCTTTAGTAATTCCTATCGTGTCAGTTTTTCTCACTTAGCTTTGGTATACAAATCATTGTAACTGGTAGTAAGTTACTATTTCAATGGAATATTTTGTTTATCGAACATATTCGTGAATAATACATCTAAAATTACGAAATTTCAACAGTTTAGGTTCATCTTTTAATGCGGAAGTAGCTAAGGCCCATATTCAGGGGAGGGGATGTGCAATGATTATGTATGCATTCCCCAAATCGGGGAAGAGGTCCAAATTTTTAAAACACTTGAATTTACTGAATATAAAAGTAGTTATATTTTAACCATCGATCTATCGTAACTAAAATTGAATAATGCCTTTAGTGCCTCGCTGGGGAATCTAGGCCACCCCCATACTCTAGTTTGTCTATTTTTGCACACCCTTGCACTTCCTATCCTCCAATAGCAATCATAGATTTGTTGATGACTAGACAATTAGCTGCTTAATGTTGAGATAAAGACGGCACAAGTGATAGCTTGCAATATGAATGGCAACAGTTTTGAGGGATTTTGTAGTTTTTACTACGAAGGAAGTATTTGTAGTTATTATTATGGTTTCTGTTGTTTACTCATCCCTAAAGAATTTCAATATATCTGACATTTGTGTTTGCTCTTTGGTTTTAAAACCATTACTGTCTGATCAATGCAACTTGTTGCTTATTGTTAGTTGCTTGTATAGCGCTTATCCTTGCAGTATATTATTATTATTTCTTTTTATAAATATTTATCTTTAGACAAATCAAATCAAATCAAATCATTATAAATATTTATCTTTAGTCAAATCAAATCAAATCATGTATTGACTCTATACAGACACCATTTACATCAGCGCCACTCAGGAGGTGCGTCAATCATAACAAATAACTTAAAAGAAAACAACTTAACTAGAAATACATTAAAAAGCAGAATATATGAGGGATTAAAAGCCTGTCTTTAGGAACCAAACTGTTGCGATTGTTCAAGCTGCCTACTGATGAATAGTTACAGTACTGTAAATGGAATCTAATAAACTGTGGCTAGCCACACTGCATTATTTATATTTGTCAAATGTAAACAATTTATTGATTAATTTAATGTATATTCAATATAAACATCATCCTTTATTTTAAATATATACTGTGTTTGTCTCAATTTTATACAAGGGAAAAGAATATGTCCTTTATAGGAAAATCCAAGGGAGTTTTGCATGATCTTTATTGAGCCTGGTTTCTTTGAAATCTTCTACACAGCTCTCAGCGAGATGATTAGTTGTTCAAATCAGGGAGCCTTCACAATTGTATTAGTGATAACTATCAATGTGCAGATTGCAGTGTAAACACTATTTATTTTATAGATACACTTTGGTAGAGAAACAATAATTAGAAGGTAGTGGATTTGAATCCTAGTGGAGAATATAATTTGACTGAATAAGGTGTTCTTCACCAACCAGTGGATACTTTGAACCAATCCATCACAATTCAGTTACTGTATTTATTCAAATATACACCTTTGCTTTGAATAGACACCCCCTCAAAAAAATGTTTCCTTGAATAAACGCCTCCCTCAAAAACCCTTCTCAGCAATAAGATCCCGGGACATTTATTCAAATAAATTTGGTAATTACTCAGTTTCTTTTTTAACATACTTATTTTTTTTTTTTAGGTTGTTGTTAGGCTAAAGGAAATACACAATGAATAAACACCCCCTCAAAAACCCTTCTCTGGGTTCACTCTAACTTTCATTTTTGTTTAGCCAATTGGCTAAAGCTAAAAAAAAAAAAATTTAGCCAATTGGATATTTGTTTAGCCAAAATTGGCTAAAATATTTTAGCCACTTATCATGCACTTAAATGGGCCGAGTGAAGTTTCATGCAAGTGTTTCGTACGGGAAAAAAAAAATCGTGGCCTGGCCATTGAAATCATTATGCTTCGTATCTCTATGCGTAACCTCTCGTAATCTGCTCGTAGGTACGTTTTGAACGTAGCTACGAACCATTACAAAGGTCATTGTTATTTTAATTAGCGTTGCAAACTTCGTAGGCTGGATCGTCGGGCTGATAAACATTGCGTAAACAATATTGAAATATAGTTTACCAGCTTTCAGCACGTGAACAATGTTGCAATTTACTAATAAACAATGTTAGAACTTATTGTTTTGTTATTTCCTATCTTATTAGATCGATCATGTTTTAAAACTTGTGTTTAGTTTGATAGCTAGGTAACCTAGTGGGCTGTCAGTATGTTCGAATTTTGATGTCATTTAGGCCTACGGCCTACATTTTCCCATAGAGAGGATAGCAGACAGTAATTTATACTCGTTAACTCTCCAATTCGGAGAATTTTGATCTGATATTGTTCTGCTAGTAGTAATTTCTACTTAAAGATCACGTTGTTTATTGTTTACCGTAATTTGAAGCAGAACCTGCTAAGCCATCCAATACTAATGAACTACAGAAATCACTACTTTGCTGAAGTAAGGCTAGTCATGCTAGACCGCATTTTCTTCATTTTTTACTCACTGTCGCTCACAGCTTTTCAACATTTGCCATGAGGTTAACCTTAGCACACTTTACTGTGTTCTGATTGGCGCGCACTCTGTCCGATGCTGGATTTTTGGGGCTGACAAGATGAACTGGCATTTTGCCAAGTTTTATTTTCCATTGGGTTTTACATGTGACATTCGGAAATTTTTACAATTAACGGACGTTAACTCTCTCTATATTTATTATTTATCGTACTAAATCAAGACTACAAAGTATTATTTGATGAACAATCTTTTCATGTGTGTGTGTTGTCATTGAGGGCATCTTTTTTAACAGTTAAAGAGGTAAAATAATAAACATGCTTTTGCTTCGTAGGTTCGCTTCGCGTAGCCGGCCTTGCTTAGATTTGTTTATATCAGGCTATGATGTATCTATGAAGTAAAAATGCAGTATTTTGTGTCGGTACTGTAGTCGTTACCATCCAGCCACTGATTGTTACGCTGCCCACTTTAAAATAACCAAATAATTTGCGATGCACACACTGACGTTTGTAGTCACACTAATAGAACAACACACATAAACGTCGCATGGCACTGGCAATGGAGTAGCGTAAAATGGAGAACTTGGTCTTGATCGTGCCAACGGAAAAATATTTCCATGGAGAGGTCGGACGAAAGAAACAATGTATTTCAGCAAGTATTTAAAAAAAACATTTTTATTATTTTTAAGCTTTTGCCAAAATGGCTAAACTAGTTGTTTTTTGTTTTGCCAATTCAAAATTGTTTTCGCCCATGGCGACTTGGCGATCGGTTAGCGTGAACCCAGCTTCTCAACAATAAGCTCCCTGGACATTTATTCAAAAAAATTTGGTAATTACTGAGTTTATTTTTTAACATACATTTTTGTTTTGTTTTAGGTTGCTGTTGTTAGGCAAAAGGAAACACAGAAGGTTTATGCCATGAAACTTCTCAACAAGTGGGAAATGTTGAAAAGAGCAGAGGTGAGTGTATTATTTTCAGATCTGCATTGCATGCCTTTTTAATCACATTCTCTCAATAGACCAATGAATGGGACATTCTGAGTTAAAATTATTCAAAGAGATGTAGGTTGCAATTAATTACAGCCTTAGATTTTTCACAATCACAGTTGCGATATTATTCAAATTACAAAGTTTTGAACACATACGTATCTTTATGCACTTCAATAAAAATTTTTCCTTGGTTTTGATCCTGAAAATATTATATTTAGATGTTTGATTCAGAGAACCTGGGCACTAGGTAGCCTAAAAGTAAATGGTATAATAGCAGACCATCCACTTTCCATGTATACAGAGTTAACCGAGTAAGAGGTTTTTTTTTCTTGTTTACCTTCAAATATGTTTTTAAGTTCACTTACAGTATTTTTTAAAAATTTATTTGAATGCATAATATCAAAATATTGTCTGAGCATCCCTGATTGTAAAAATGTAATGGTCATAGAATTTCCAAATAGACAAAACCATTAAATTTCAAGGTTATAAAAATTAAAGGATTTACAGAAGGCAGAATAGGAAATATACCTTTGTAATCTCTGAACCTTGCACTATTTGACCTTTCACTTGATTAAGGGATAGTGTACTGATTCTGGGTTATCAATAGAGGCTGAAGTCTAACATGATTTTCTAGTACTTCAACATTATATTTACCCAGGGTATGGCATACATATTTGTACGCTAATGTTTACTGTTCTTAAAACTAGTTTAGATCTAGAGTTTGTAATCGTCATCATCTTTTTTTTTATGTTAGGCCGACTTCCAAAATCAGGTGATGCTCAAGACTTCCTTGTCAACATTGACTTTTTTCATATATTCCAATCTTGTTGAGTGATGGTGCCACTGCTGACACTACTGCAGTTTCTTTTTTTTTTCCACCGGATGAAAATATTAATTAATAAATAAAAATAAGCAAACAAGAGGAAGCATTATTTACTAACTCTATGATTTATTCAATATAACTTTGCCAATTAGTCTTTGCTAGACATGCACCAATAGTATTAATCTGTTTTGAATTAGAAAATTGAATAGATGAATAGAATTGTGTAAATATTTAGCACTGTTACCTATGACAGTGAAATCATACCATCGTAGAAATCATGATTTAGTATCTATTATTTCCTGCTTAATAGATTATGAACTTCTCTGTATTTTTTGTGTACATTTTTGCGAACCTGATTGAATCATTTATATATGTACAGTGTAGTCTATTTGAATTTTGTTTAGCAAACTCAAAACTTTCTTGGTCTCTTAAATTTACAGTAATTGGGAGTTCTGTTGATATTGATATTGATATAATCGGTACACTCAGCCAGAGATGTGACTTCTCCTGAGTTATGACCTGAATAAATTAGAAAACTACTGTGAAATAACTGAATAATGAGGTCATCACAGAATTTTGGGTTTCTATAGAAAGTGAATATCAATCTACAATTTGACTAATATTTATCGGATGGTTTAACTTAATTTACATTGAAGGTTGTTTCAAGTCAAGGTTATAAGACCATTAACAATTATAGACATTTAATACTGATAAGTAGATACTTTGGGAGATGGCAAGCGAGGCAAGTCCATGTAAAATTTAAGGAGTAGCTTTGTAACATTTTGAAGAAGCTATGCAGTCTCTAGTTCAAAAAATAAAAAGAAAATTGTTAGTACATAAAAAGTAAACAGTTGACTGTGATTGATTGTTTGAATTTATTTATTATCATTCAAAGGTACAGTATAAAACAATTTGACAAATTATAACAAAGAAAGTAAAAATGATAACTTATTTCTATTGGGGTCCTTTGTAAACAGAGTTAACTACCATACATATAGATAAACAAATCTGCTTAAAATTGAAAAAAAAAACAAAAAAAAAAACCACAGACAATGTAATATAAAGTAGATTATCTATATGAGTCTCTAAAACCTATGGGTCCAACTGCCCATTTATTTTTTCTTTTATAAATTTGGTATAAAATGTTTTTTTTTTTAAATTATAATGTTAGGCCTATAAATAGTAATTAATGTAATAATTAGGCCTACTGTATTATTTAAAAGGGCCCTCATACAGTAATGCCGTTCCCCGGTAAGCTACAAACAATCTACTCTGATTTTCACCACAGCAAATGTTCACTAAAAAACTGCAGAAAACAAGCAAGTGTTCCGTGAACTGTAGTAAACATGCAAATCAATCGAGAAAGCCGATCACGTGTTAAGCATCTACAAAGGCTGCCCTCCATCAGTCGCCTATGAAAACAAATAATCACATAATGTTAAAGAATGGTCAAAAGTAGGCCTGCTTTTAATAAAACCATACTGAGCTTTATAGTATATGTAGCAGCAGTGTGCTATACTTGTCATATTGCATTCTGTCATTTAAGAGGAAATAATGCATTTCCTTTGCTGAAATTTTATCTGACGTTCCACATGATTTAATTGGCTAAACTTATTTACTGTAAATGTTAATTGTAATCTGCTTTACTGCAGGTCTGTTTATGAGTTGAGGTTCAGTTTCTCTACTGGTCTCTTTGTTGCGCTTTTCTTTTGATTTATTCATACACAACGTCCAATGTTAAACATATCCATGAACATTTTCCTCCTTTTTGCCTACTGTTCTTCTTCATTCATATTTTGAATATTATTAACAGAAAAGCGCAACCAACAAGACCAATGGTGGAACAGAACCTCAACTCATAAATGGACCTGCAGTGAAGCAGATTACTATTAACATTTAAATATTCTCCCTTCATTCACTTCCTTCAATAATCCATTGCCTCTCAGTGCATGGACAGTCTAGAGCTTTCTTCTTTAACAGTCATATTAATTTAGTAAACTTTTAACATTCATTTTCTCAATATCTTATGCATTAACTTTCCTCCCATGTCACACCAGATATCCTTCCGCAGATCCACATTTGAAAGGCATTCAGATTTTCCATCGCTTCATTTTTTCAATGTTAAGTGTAGTGATAACTGATGTCAGTTTTGATGCTGTAACGTATAATGACTCTATACAATAAAAATGCTACATACTGTAGATCTTCCTCTTATCGAGTCACTACGTAGCTAGTGTGTATGATCTAGCTTACGTATTGTGGTAGAAGGATTCACAGGTAGGATGGATACCTGACAAGGTGCGCGTCGTGAGTGCTCCTTCTTTGGCCGGACAGAGGACTAGAGATGGACCAGTACACCGGGGTAACCCCCTACACTTCTCGAATGGTGTACTGGGTTCTTTAAAGTGCACACGAGCCAATTGTGTACACTGGGCCTACGGTTTATAGTCCTTATCAGAGAAGACTTGTTCCACCACCGGAACCATAGGCGAGCGTGCCGTTCGAACCAGCGCCGGTATTATGGCTGTATGTCACAATATCAGCGCTGGTCCGAACGGCACAGCATGCTACATAGATGTAATTTAGCGAAGAAAAATTATATTTAAATATAATTTAACATTTTAAGCACAAAAATGCTCATTAAAATGCTCAACTTTTTAGTCACTAGCAAATGCAAAACAGTGAAGACTGCAAGGTAAAAACAAGATTTTATATTCATCATATTTAAGATGACTATCACACACAAAGGAATATGAATTCTACCAGTCTTTTCATTCCTTGATCAAGACAGAGGTGGAAGGGTTCACAGTGGTCAGAAAAGCCAAGTGTTTGCAAGCTGCATCCCACTGTGAGCCTATGGTAATCAATTAGGCATTAAATGTTGGCAGTGCACATTCAACAGCTAGCTTTCTGCAAACAGCTGCTCGCTTCAGTTGCAAATAGTTTAATTATTCTTGCCTAGGAAATTGCATTATTAATTATTAAAACATTTAATTACATTGTCTCTCTTTCTTCGTAATTATGTGCATCTGAATGCTATAAAGTATGATTAAGTTTACCGGTAAACCATTTTATTAAACTTTACTTAGCATTATAGTTATACAGTATGTATAATTGTTCTGTCTGACAATATTTTTGATTTCTCAAAATAAACTAACAGAATTATTTATATCAGCAATGAAAAAAAAAATGTGCTGGCAGTTGGTCTTACCAATCACAAGAAAAAAGAAGAAATCAGTTTCCAAAGAACAATGTTTTGTATAGAAAGAATAATGTTTAATATTTTTATAACCAAACAAACCAGTGATAACTACAAGGTACATGTTGAGTATATGGATAATGTGTTTGGAGAGGTACTGTGTAGATCATAAAGATGTACTCTAGTAGAATTATACACTATCATCTCCTACATAATGCTGTAACCCTTGCCTAAACCACTTTTGTCAGCTTCCAGTGCATATTCCATAGTAGGAATTTTGGAAGAAACCACGACAAAACTCAAAAAAGGAATTTAAAAATAAATCCTCTTTACTCATTGATTGGACAATTCCTTATCATTGGTCACTGATTTATTATTGCCATATTGAACTTTATACTTTTTTTTCATTTCATTTGGTTATTATTTTTACCAATTTTTGCATTATAAAAGTATGGAAAGGTTTGAGCTGCTATTCCTTTCTTCTGGCCAAGTCCACATTTTTAAAGAAGGATCATTGTTAACAGACTTTCGAGTCATGGTTCATGTCAGTCAAACTGATTATTGCACTTACGTACTTTTTTTTTTTATATGTATCTTGGATATGGACTGATAATACCATCACTGCTAATGATGTGGCTACAATGTTTATTTTTAAGCCTAAATACTTGCACCTAGGGCTGAAACATAGCGTGAATCACTTCACAGCCCATCAACAGTGCAAACTGCCTTCCACCCTACAAGTTACTATTTTCTACAGTAAAACGTCCATTTTACGTATCCCTTGGTATGAATTAGCACTTCAAAAAACGTACAGTATACCAAGTTCAGTTTGATGTAAACTTGTGTCATTATAAGTGACACGATGTAATTAACAGTATGACGATAAATTGTGTGTACATTTAAAGATACTTTCTGGTACATAGAATTACAATAACTTAAGATCCTAACATTTTTTTTGCATGGACAAATTTCTGCAAAATTAGAATCTGAAAAAAATTCCTAGCAAGTATAAATATATGATTATTGCTGACATTTTTAGCCTCATTTATATTTTATGGTATGTGGTTTCTTGTTTTAATCATGTTCTATCGTAGTTGTACTAAATTTCAATTTCAATTTTAATTTATTTTCAACAGACAGCCTGCTTTATAGAAGAACGTGATGTTCTTGTGTATGGCGACAAACGGTGGCTGACAAATTTACACTATGCATTTCAAGATCAGGATTACCTTGTAAGTATTTCTATCTACAAATCATTAGGAAAAATGCATTTTAATTAAAATAATTTACTTTGAAATAAATCTTATTTTACATATGTGCAAAAAATTAGTTTTAGCTACCGTAAATCCACAAATAGGCGCCGCGGCACTTGTACAATTTTTGGAGGCTGTAGTGCAGCGCTAATTAGTAAAATACTGGCGTGGCGCGTTTCATGCCTGTTCCCGTAGTTCGGTAGGCCTATCATTGCCACTAAAAAAAGATATGCTTGTGTCTTCATTGTGTTATTCATTTGAACACTTGATTTTATTTAAAACCCTCTTTCTCCAAGTATTTCATTATACACAGGGTAATATGTACTCTTGATGAAGCACTGCGGTGCTTATAATTAAAAATAGAATAATCTTGAATAAGCGCTGCTGCACTTTATTTAAGTGAAAAATTTCACATTTGGTGCAGCGCTTATTCAAGAGCGGTGGTTACTCAAAGATTTATGGTACTAAGGTTACGTTCAGACCTGAGAGATACGCCAAGCGTATGTAACGCTGGGCGTATGTTAATTCGTAGCATAACTACATGTAGCAAGATGTCCAGAATGGGCGATTAACATAACGCTAGCGTAAGAAATGTTTCTATTCGTAATCACACATTTTATTTCCTGTTTAAATCTGGGTTTATTGTGATTGGTCATTTCTTGGCCGAGTTAAAAATCATTGATGCATGACTGTTGTAACTCAGTGGCGTAAGTTAATCTGGGGTGTGTTGGTGGATTACCGTATGCCAGTGATTGCGCGTTAATGCTGGCGCTCGCTACGTCTTGCACAAGTTCACATCACTTGATTAATGTTACGCTAGCGTAACTCGTTGTCTGAACATAGTCTTAATGAAATTATTGCAAAAGGGTTGCAACAATATAATTGATGGTTTTATTTGCTGAAGGTGAGTGGAAGCCTTATGAGTCATTCCAGTATGTGATCAGACCAATGTTGACTCATTCTATAACATACCATTGTAGTATATAACCTTTAACCTACTGTACTGACAAAGCTGCTTCACATTGCTAATGCACCATACTCTCATCAGTCGATTTGACACCTTTCAAAATGTATGAAAAAGATATTAGCATCCAAAATTTAATTTGAACAGATTAAATGTACATAGTCTTCTATTCTTTTTAACTCCCTGGTTTTAAGATGTCACTGTGCTTGAGCACCAACAATATTTTTGACCTTGTTAACCCAGTGTCATTGGATCTAATATATGGAAACTGTATTTAGTTTCCTGAAAATATTATAAGACATTCCAACACCCAGAATGTGCCAAAGTGGGACACGATGATGAAAAATGCGGGAGGTTACTTTCAACTTACTATTTCAACTTACTTTTCAACCCATCTATTATATAATTAAAAAGTGAGATTAGTAATGTTAATTATTGGAAGATACCTGACACTTAAAACAATTTATTTATACATCTTAATTATAGGAATAATTATGATTTAATTTCATTAATGAATTATTTTTATTTTTAACAAATTAAGTAGTTAAAGGATGATTGTATACCGTATCCTGGGCACATAAGGATAAAAATTGGTTTCAACCGAGTTGTTAACCCAAGTAAAACAAGAAATAAATAAAAAGTAAATAACTCTTGACTGCCACAGCTTAATACTAAACCTTAATAGTGATATGTTCTCGTGAAACTCATGACCATCCAGTTGGAATCCTAAAGTTATGTTTCAAACTCTTTTGATTTGCCTGTGGGTGTGATTGCCATCATCTTTGCATATACTATATGGACAAGTCACATATACTTGTCATATAAAACAGAGGTTTAGTACTGTACAACATGCTTGCTACATTAATGTAAACAAATATTAATACTAGTGTTATATTCTCTCTTATTGCTAGTACTTGGTTATGGATTACTACAGTGGAGGTGACCTATTGACCTTATTGAGTAAACATGAGGATCGTTTACCTGAGTCTATGGCACAGTTCTACATTGCTGAGATGGTGCTTGCTATTGATTCCGTACATAAAATGGGCTACGTGCATAGGGACATTAAACCAGACAACATACTTGTTGACCAGCATGGTCATATTAGACTCGGTGATTTTGGTTCATGTCTAAAGATGTTGGAGGATGGTGCCGTAAGTTTTTGCTCATCATATTTGTTTGTCTTTGTTTTTGCAGTTTAGATATTTGCTTCTCATATTATATATACATGTATGTATGATAAGTCAAAGACTTCGTTAGCTACATAAGCACATAATTTACCCCATTTTTACTGATGTTAGAGCCAGACTGCCACTGATAATCAAGATTCAAGATTCCATAGTATAGTGCATTTTTCAGCATATGATGGATTTGCATGGTAAAGTGCAAGAAAAAAAAAAAAAAAAAAGTATTTACCAGACGGCGGTTAGCCTACTCATAGCCTCCCAGGCTTTAGAACCACCAACAATCATGCGCTACGAGTTGCCAATCTCTGCCCCTCCCACCCCATTGAATTTTTTGAAGAAAAAACTTATGCACAAGTAGATAAAAATCACCACATATCACCTTATTTTGTGACTCCTTTACTTAATCCTCGAGCCCCCAATTTTACCCCTGTGCCCCCATCAGCCATCCCATTTCAAGACACCTAGGTACGCCACTGCTGGAATATAATGATGAAACTATATCAAGCTATGTATGCTGGTCTATAATTATATATATTTTTTGTTTTAACTATGTGCTTTTACATGGAAATTTTTTCATAGAAACAGTGCTGAATAACAGCTGCCTTGATTTATTATTATTATCATTGCAGCCATCCCCATTGTAGTCAAAAGCTCTGACCCTTGTTGTTGTTGTTTTTAATTATATTATGATGGCAGTTGATTATGTTGCCAATTGGTTTACTTAATTTGTTTAAAACCTTAGAAACATCCATCTTACAGGTACAATCTTCAGTTGCTGTAGGTACTCCGGATTACATCTCACCAGAAATTCTCAGGGTAAGCTTGAACAAAGTGAAGGTTTCTAGCGTTAAACCTGTTTTCCACTCGGCGAATTTATTTGTACAAATCGAAGGCTTCGGTTTGGTTCCTGAGCTCAGGTTGGCTGCGCATGCGCACTTTTTTCGCCTCGCAAAAAGTAGAAACAGTTGGAACTACTGATTTCGCTGAAGTGAAAACTGCGATAGAAATGTCATTGCGCATGAACCAAAGCATTTGAAAACAGGCTTTACAATGACTGTCTTTCAATCTTGAGATCGCCTGTCAAATTGTGACAAATACTGTGATTTACTTATGCATTTACAGGTACAGTAATTACCAAAGCCTCTTATTGAGACTCAATCTTTACATCCTAAAAATTTCATATCTTTGACCATTAAAGCTCAGGATAAGATGGTCTCAGACAAAAAAAAACAAAAAATTGTAATTGATATTCATTCAAATAAATTAATTTAAAAGGTTTTAAATGCATGTTTTCCATTGCCATGTTAATCAGAAATTGTGAACATGTTTTACTAAATAGACATTTTTTAACTTAAAATTTCATATCTTTGACCATTAAAATTTAGGATAAGAGGATCTCGGACAATAAAATAAATTGTACCTGATATTCATTAAAATTAATTAATTTAAAAAGTTTAAAAACCATGTTGACCATTGTCATGTTAAATTTGGAGTTGTGAGCACGTTTTAACTAAATGGACTCAACTTTATCAAATACAATTGTAAATGTGGGTTTTGTAATAGTTCAGTAATTCAAACTTTTTTTTTAGGCCCGGAATGATTGGGCAGTTCTATACCCCCAAAGTATGGTATTAAAATGTAGAAATAATAATAAGCAACCCTCTCCAGTTCTTCATTTTAGGGAGCTTTCGATTTGTGCGACGACGCGACGCTAGAACGGCTTCACACATGCGTGACCGTCCTACCTGGCGTCCTACGTTCTCTGCATACATAGATTTGACCAAATTGCGTTCCAGAATCTACTCGACTAGGTGGCCTTAATGTTCTCGCATGCACAGATGACTTTTAGTGACGTCATTATGTTCTACGTCCTGCTGTCGTCGTGCAATCAAAAGCTTCCTTTTGTGACCTAGAATGTTGGTAAATGCAACCAAATGCATGCCAGAATCACAAAAAGTTTGGATTAAAATTGCATCTGAAGTAAAGTGTTTATGTTTAAATAAGTAATATTCTGGAAATGATTTAGTAATATTTTAAATGATAAAAACATAGATGTGCAAAAATGTTGTAGAATAGAGTGGATGATATTTAAATACATGTCGTGTGTTTTTTTCTTACATAGGCGATGGAAGATGGTAGGGGACGATATGGTGCTGAGTGCGATTGGTGGTCATTGGGGGTTTGCATGTACGAGATGCTTTTTGGGGAAACGCCATTTTACGCAGAGTCGTTGGTTGAAACGTATGGCAAAATTATGAATCACAAGGTAATATTTATTTTTAACATGATGTCCCTTGTTGTGGAAATTGGACACAATTATGAAGAATATTGCTCATTTAGCAGTCATTATGCCACTCCTTATTAAATTAAATGTACCTGCTACTCAGCTGTATTGCTGAGTACCTGGTTGGATGAGCTGTTTCCCTCAGTCAATTTCAGTCTTGTCCCATGAGAGACCTAGATAGCTACTATGTATTTTGAATGATAGTTTCAAACATGTCCTTGGCATAGGCATACTAATCATAATGTTAAACCTCTAATTGAACTAGAACATCCCTCTAAGAGAATAGAACAGTCCAACATATTAAAAATGTTTACATTGACGACATTTTATCATATCATTTTCATAATTATATAAATATTGTATTTAATGATAATTGTAATTACAGACAACTTTATATTCTAAAAGGGATTGTGAAATCAAAACATAATTTATATATTTATATTGATTAGAGATTACACATTAACAGAAATTAAATGTCAATTCCATGTGATAACCCTGGGATGACTCACTATGTAGTTGAGTAGGCCATATATCATTGTAATTTGACTACAAGTGGATAACTTATCTACTGCACATCTAATATATCTCATCTATCTTTACATCTTGGTTACTATTCTACATTGAGCTCTTATTTTTGACATGCCTAGTATCACATACTATTTTCCTAAATATTATATTTATACATATATTTTTCTTCTTCAATCTAAGAAATAAATTAGCAAAAATACCAATGAGAAAAAAAAATTTGCTTTTGAATAATGAGCATTAAAATTGTTATCACAATGTCTTTATTCCTCCTTTCTTTGCTCCAATCTTTCTATACTCTCACCCTTTTATTTTTTTTTCATTCCTTCTTTTCTCTTTAATCTGCCTTGTTTTTTTTACCCTTCCCTATCTTCTTTTCTGAAGTAATTTATTTAATTGATTTGCTAATGTTTTGAAAACAAAATGCTATGAAAATCACTGAAAAACCTTTGGCTAAAATAAACATAAAATTTAAATAAGAAACATATCTAGGCATTATTTTGTTTATAATAGGTAGTTTTCGCTGCACGACGTCAACCTTAACTTTAACGTTTGTACCCAACGTGCAGCGCGATAGTCAGCCCCTTTTGTAAACAAATCGAAATACGCATGGGCAAACCCATAACTAAAGTACGTCGAGCACATAAAATTCTGAAATTAAAGTACTCCGCAACGCAAGATGAACAAATTATGACGTTAACGTTAAGGTTACCGTCGCGCAGCGAAAACTGCCTAATATTCCTTTGACTGTTGTAATTTGTGCTTTGTGAAATGTCGTAGTTACTTAACACATGAAATCATAATAGAATTGTGCTATTTATAAAACACCTTAAAAACAAGTGTTAAACCATGTTTTCATTTTCTCACACAATCAGTGCACATTACATTTGCTGGCCTGGTTTTCTGAAATCATGCTACTAAATAATTTTAATTATATAATACATTTCATTTTGCTTTCAAAATCTGATTTTATGATGTTCTGGTTATCCTGGACGCATATTGTTAGTTTGCAGCAAAGTTTAACAGTACTAATTTCCTGTGGAGAGACTTCCTTGGAAGCCTTCACAGATACAGTTCCTTGGGAGTCAGATAGGTTATTGGAGTGTGGGGAAATATTAAATGACTAATTTCTTAGGGTTAAATTTTAACATGAGAACTAATAATGGTGAGAGAGTTTCTTAGTAGAATTCATCAAGAACAGTTTTCTTACAGCAGCCCCTTGGCGAGCATCAAATGTAGAAAATAATTACAGTTCACCCTTCAATTGCAGACCACCTTTGGGACTTTTGGATTTAGGGTGGGCTCGGGGGTTTGGACTCCACATAGAGGGTTAGCCTAATAGTGTTAATAGATTGAAGATTGTTATTTGGTTCCACTTTGAAAAAGTGGTCTCGAGTTAGAGGGGTCTCAGAATTAGAGGGTGCACTATATATCAATAATAATATTAATAACTGCACTAAAGTTGGACAGGTATTAGTTCTCTCATTTAATCTACTTAGTTTATCTTTCAATTTTCAGAATCAATTTGACTTCCCACCTGAAGAGGTTGATGTGTCAGAGAAAGCCCAGGATCTTATACGAAGGCTGATATGTGATGCAGAGCACAGGCTAGGAAGGAATGGTCTAGATGACTTCAAGAATCACTCATTCTTTGAATCCATTGACTGGGATAACATAAGGAACAGTAAGATTTTCTTTTAATATATTTAATATATTTATAAAGTTCTATTGTTGGATTATAGCTTTTGTTATTATGGCACTTGTTAAAATTCAAAGATACTACTGTTGCCTAAATCTAATATAAACTATGAAAAAAACAAAAAATTAATTGCTCAAATTTGTATATTACAATATAATATTAGCTTTTTACTGAACTTTAGGATGAGAACAAACTTTACTTGCCAATTTACAAGATTGTGGAAATTTCAACTTTACATTTTTTGTCAATTTTTGACAAAAATGTTTGTTGTATTATTCTTTTCTTATAAGATCTTTACTGATGATAGGCAGTGGGCCATAAAAACAGGTTTTTAAGACAAGAATGTGAAACAGGCTGATATAATTTGAGTATGAGTATAATGGAATTTTGAATGAATGCCAGAGGCTCACCATACAAAATCTTTTTTTTTTAACTTGTCAAAATTTATGTTACTAATGTCTCTAAAAGCTTTACATTCAACAAAAATGTTTTAAGTTCCATTGTATTATAATTGTATTATTCTGTTTCTTTTACTGAAGAAAATGGGCTTTTATATCAGGAATGGTAGTCAAGCCGTAAAAATGGTTTTTAAATTACAAAATATGTTGTTAGGCTGCACTTACCTGTACTTGTGGTTTAAAATGTTCTGTGGAAGTATAATAAATATGATAATGATAAAGAAAGAGAGACGTGCAGTAATGAATGGAGACAATACCCAGGGTTCTCGCCATGCTGGTTGGCGGTGGTTTTCCCCAACCAGCATTCAAGATTTCATACCAAAAGTGTCAGGCTGCCGAACACCACTATAATTTTTGAGATTATTGAAACTTTATAAACATAATTATATATGAAATACATTGCTTGACCAGGAAATACTGTAAACATAGTCACATTTCGACTTTTAAACAGTATAATGCAAAAATCTGGACTTTAAGATTCACCCTGCACAACTTTTTGACTTTCCAGAGTCTACTGGTGAACTTGACTGTATATCAATCATTGAAAAAATTAGTTTTTTGTTCATGTGAACATATTACAAGAGTTTTTTTCCCAAAATTTTTTTGATGGCTATATATCTTGCTATTTCTATCATAATTGAACTAGTTATTAAAAAGTATTGTGGACCAAGACTTTCTAATTTTTAAAAGTTTGTCCTCAAAAACTGTCTCTACATTCTCCTTTTTGAATTCTTTATATTCTTATCATGTTAATTATTTTATAAAAATGTAATTTAATCAATCATTGCTATTAATTTTGTCATGATTATTAAATCAAATAATTGTTGTTTATCTGTGTCCATCTTTCAGTGACTCCACCCTACATTCCTGATGTGAAGAGTCCAACAGATACATCAAACTTTGATGTAGATGAATCAGATTTGAAAAACTCGGAAGCAATGCCACCAAACACGCATGCAGCCTTCAGTGGGAATCATTTACCATTCGTTGGCTTTTCATTTACAAGAAATAGGTATGAATATTCATTATATGCTAATCATTATGTGGTATAGTCTTAAATAATCATGTGATGATTTAACATATAACCTCGCATTAATTTTTGCCAATTATCATTATCAAAATGAAAAATCTCGAGATTCACCAATAAGTTTGACATAAGATAGTATGAAACAAACTCCGAAAAAGAAGTTACAAGCCATAGCGATTCAATCTTTTAGTTCAGAAAGATGAACTAGTAAAGTTAAAATTATTGAAACTCAATGGCTTATAGCACTTTTCTCGGTTTCATAAATTTTAAATGAAAAATGTGATTAGAAATATGTGTGTTAGTTTTATATTAGCTGGAGACATTGAATGATAATAATTGATAGTTTTTGAAATTCTTTCTAAAAAGTTGCTGTACTCATTCTTAGTATTTGTTCCCATTAAACCAAAATTTCTGACTTTGTTAAAAATAAATTAAAAAATTTTACAGGCTACCTTTACATATATTACTCAAAATCAAGTCAAATGAATAAGTGAATGAAGTACATATATAAACCCCAAACAGATGTTTTTGAAGTGATTGTATCATATCATTAGTTACAAGAACTAAGTTCTTTATAGAGCACATATTCATTTCAATAATAATAATAGTAATAGTAAAAATGCTTTATTGGTCCTCTTTCAATTGGAAATCGGAAGTTTGTGCTAGGTCTTTGGCGACCCATGCCAGTTGCAGTGAAGCGCCACCCAATTTAACTTCAACACATAACAGACACATTCGAATACAAACATTGTTTTTTACCCACTAATTCTCAATATGAGGGTCATTTGAGGAGCCAAGCAATAAACTCAAATTAAAACCCGACGCTGGCCGGGTTTGAACCTTGGTCTTCAGCACAAGAAGCAGGAACAGTACCACTTGGCAATCACTCAGCTTTAATTCAAGGAAATAGCATGATGCATTTGAGAGAAAAATACAACAGAGAGTATTTACAGTGTTTTACATAAACACCATCTACTTAACTAAACCACAAAATATTCCAAAGAAACCAAGATGAAAACTGATAGCTAAGGAATATTTTTACAGAAAACTATTGTTGCACCCTTGTTTTAGCTGTATAGGTTTTAGTACTAATTTGCATAATATACCTCAAATGTCAGATAATTGTTACAATTTAAATTACAAATTTACTCTGCTTATATTTGGTTTCAAAAACATTGTCTACAGTGTCTGCCATTTTGTGTGATTTTATCTTTTTTAATTAACTCAAAGCATTGTCTCCATTGCTATTTAAATCACAGACCTGAGAGTGCTATAGAGTTGCTATAACAACTGTACAATTGAGTGATAAATGATTTTACCATCTGGGCAATGAGTTGCTCTTGCAATTTGAGTCACATGTTCCCCAGGGACTGACTGATGAGTTTCTCTAGTAACTGACCGAAATGACACTCCAGCTGTAAAAGGATGAGTTTGCTGTACTAACTGAGCTACCAGTCTGGTAACTGAGTGATAGGTGGCTCTACCACCGAGCGATGAGTCCCTTTAGCAATTGAGAGACAGGGCTTTCTAGCAGTTTAGTGTTGAGCTGCTTTAGCTTAGAGTTGCTGCAATCACTGAGCAATGATTGAATGTTGAGTTGCTAAAAAATTGAGTGATGAATCCCTCTAGCACCTGCAGAGTGATTTCTTTCAGCAACTTGAATGTTGAGTTGATCCAGAAATATAGTGATAAGCCCTTCCAAATGGTACTGGTAAAAATAGCCGTCTTTTCCAAGAAATTTGGCAGACATTGACTTGACATTGTCATTAGTAGGCTACTGCTTTTAAAACTACATAATTTGAAGTGAACCAACAGCAACATCTCTCACTATCATGGGGAAGAAAAGTATAATGCATTAAATTAATATAAATTAGGTTAAAATCAGTGCAGTTGCTTAAGCTTTCTGTTAAAGGTATCAATCCCTAATAAATTTTTCTCTATTTTGTTGGCTAATCTTCACAACTTGTTCGAGAGTAGATGGAATTTTCCTGCCATTTCTTTTCTGTGGTGTGTATCATGGAATGTGAGAATTTTTGTGTACTGCAAAATAATTTGCTTCATCAACTTGAATGTTTTGTAGCAATGAGTCCCGACTATCACATTTTATTTGGCAAAAACATGTGACATGCCTAAATATGGTCATGATGACATCACATCATGACCATATATAGGCACATCATGACTATATATGGGCATACAACACACTTTTGTCAAAAATAGTGTGGACAGAGCATAACAACTGAGCATTGAGTAAAAGTATTATATTAACTTTTCATTTTTTTTTCTCTTTCATTTTAGTAATTTGTCTGACCTGGGGTCATTAGCAACTGCAAAGGGCATTGAAATAAAAACGGATGGAGTTGTTGACAGCCTTACCATTGAAGGGTATGAAAGGCGCATTAAGAGATTGGAGGCAGAAAAGTCTGAACTTAACAGGCGTTTAACAGGTAAACAAAAATATTTATTGTCAATATAAGGAACCATAACTAATAAGTTACTGATATATTGTAAAACCCATTTTTCTAAGACACAAAAACGGTTAATGACATACAGATTTTTAAATACTTGAAAACTAGGAGAAGTAAGGTAGGAAAAATGTGTGGGTAGGCCCTTTTTTGTATTCAAAAATCTATATCTCATTATTCGTTTCATTTTTGTGTGTTAGAAAACATATCAAATGTATTTTTTTCCGACTTTGAAGTCTTAAAGCATGGAAGATAAAAACAATGAAGCTTTGAACAAGTAATTATTAAAAATATATAATTCGGTGATGGACCCTGTTTTAATTGATGGTCATAGTAGGAATTGATGTCACTCAAATTGCTGCTATTCCAAATTGCATATAGATTGTCTTATTGAATTATGGTAATTATCTTTGTACCTTATTGGTCATTAGCTGAGTGTATCTTGTGCAAAGGCATAAGGACTTGACTTTAACATTACTTACCTTGAATGCATCCTGTAAAATAATGAACATTGATTTTTCCAGAATCTTCAGCTCTACTCCAAGATGCTAACATCTCTGGACAAGGTTCCTCTTCGACGAACACTGCCGATATTCAACGGCTCAAATCTGAGATCATGCTTTTAAAGAAGCAGGCTGCAGGTAAAGTAATGCCACAGATCAGTTCTCAAACTTGTTGGCCAACAAATCAAACGTACAGGCATCCACCTCCAGATACTTAAAATGGGTCATTAACTGGTAAACAAAAAAAGTCACAGCTCAATTACAAGTGAACGAGATTATTCCAACGTGGCTTATTTCGCATTTGAAACAGAAGAGTACTGATAAACATTAATAAACATTTCAGAACTGCAACCTTTCATGTTTCAACTTGATACTGTAGATATTCCTTTTAATTGAATACACAAATAAAATTACTTTGCTTATATATTATTATACTTTATTACATTTTTTAAATATATTTTTAAATTTTTTTTATTATATTTTTTTTATTATTTATTTTTAAACATTTTTTATTATATTTAAAAGAAACCTTATGATAACATGGAATATGCCAGAATATAATTTTTTTAGAAATAATATGCCAAAGAATTATTAATAAATAATTTTGTTTGCATCTTAGATACTAAAGATGAAAGTAGTAACATGGAAAGGAATTTGAAAGAAGCATTAAAATTGAGGAAGGATCTGGAGAGTGTTGAAGAGGAGAGGTTACTCAAAATAAAATTTATTGAAAAGTCGAATCGGTAAATATACCCTTGATGCATAATTTTAAGCTCCAATGAGGAGTTCTAGGAATACCCAGCTGATATTGTGCTTTTTTGCTGATTGACTCTGCTTTTTTCACGGCTGATTGCCTTTCTGAAGTTTTGGGACACAGTTTGGCCCAAACTTAAGTTGGACAGTCATGGATGAATAAATCGATTCTATTCTATAACAACAAAATCGAAGGACTTTGAGGAGTAACTTAAAACTGGAAAGCACATGCTTGTAAAATGTACATTCCAGTAAAGATTATAGTTTTGTATAATATATTTTATTAACAATTTTTTACAAATGTTATTTTTGTTTAAATAGGGCACTAAAATCTGAAAAGCAGGAATTAACAAAGGACTTTGAAGATGCTCAAGAGCGGTTGAGAATTCAGGCCAAGGAACTCAAAGACGCTCAGTCACAACGAAAACTAGCAATGCAAGAATTCTCTGAAATCAATGACAGGTAACCAATCAGTGTTGCCAAAAGCTGTTGGCAGTAGCTTGTTGCGTATCTGGTAGTCTTAAAGGTTTAGGGGGTTGGGGGAGTGGGAAAGGTTGAGCGTAATGGTGGAGTAAGGGGCTTGGTGATTAAGTGAGGGAGCACTAAGTCAGAAAATAAGGTGATAATAATAATAATAATAATAATAATAATAATAATAATAATAATAATATTTTAGATTTAAGTAGGTGATTTTTAATTACTTGATCTCTTTTTTTGCTTCAGACATTTTCAATGGGGGTGACTCGGCCCGCAATCTTCTTGAGAGGGGGGCGTGTTCCCCCACGCCACTTCTAGATATGCCATTGGCAATAGTGTGTAGATTTACTTGTGATTAAAAATTTCTATATTTCATTTGCAGATTATCCGATCTTCGTTCTCAAAAACAGAAACTCTCACGAAGTTTACGTGACAAAGAAGAAGAACTAGATAGCAGTTCCCAAAAAAATGAGAAATTGCGCCTTGACTTTCGCAAATCGGAGAAAAAGAGGCGAGAGGTATGTAATAATGCTGATGGTTTGTAGTGGTATGATTTTTTTGGTGTTAACACACCAAGGATAGCCAAAGACTTCACGTTCCTAGCAATTTTTTAACATAGTGCACGTCACACATGTATTGTATGCAGTTTATTCTGCAATATATGTGTTCAAGTAAAGATGACTGAAATCACTTATTTTCATCAGAATATTTTTTTTTTGTATGACTGTTTTCAGAAATAGAAAAAACAATGCAAATGCTGAGCGACACAGCTCTGTCGCATAGTTGCATCGCATTCTTAGTGGATCATTAGAAAATATATAATTTTTTTTCAGCCTCTGTTGCGTCGTTGTTGCCCTCTGTGTAGGTTTCTCAATAACAAATTAAACTTCATGTTAAAAATAGATGTGAGGTACAGGTTGTTTGATTTTTCTAAGCTAGTTCAAAGAATTTCCACCCATTTTTAAACAAATTTCCTAAAATCGAATACTATTTAAATCAAAATGTCTTTTGTTAAAAGCTTGAAATCCAAGTTGAAGAGATGCAGACTGACCTGAATAAAGAAAAAAAGCTAAAAAACCAGAGTAATATTTATGCTAATCAATTGGAAGATGAAAATCGTCAGTTAAAGGTAACAATACACCTTTGAATTTACTAGTCATTTTGAGCAACAATGCTTTTACCAGTGCAATAATATCAATGGAAATCATAGCACCGTAAACACAACATAAACAAAAAGATAAATAATGATAAATAATAATAAATTTTAAATCACACCTACATAGATGCCTCTCATTTTAATTGGTGTATTTCATATCATGCGACATTGGTTATTAACCCCATTTCGTTACTCATCATAGAGATATATTCTTTAAACTCATGAAAATATTCTTCCCATTGCACTTATAAACACTCAATATTTGTATATATTATATATATCATATTTATGGTATTATGGATAATATTATGAATATACATATTTTATTATATATTTTCAGCAGAGTGGAGGCATACAAGGGGTAGATGCTGTACGACAACAAGAGACTGACAACTTAAAGGCTGAACTTGAAAGATGTAAAGAATCTCACGAGGAAGCACTTACAGATGAAAGGACCAGGCATGCCAAAGAGGAGAAGGTGAACCTACAGGCCCTGATTCTAAATTTACTCGTCTATTTAGTGAATACTTACCTGGATAAACCGACTAATTGCCATTGTTCCTAAAAACGGAACACCCCTTTGAAATAAACTGACTATTGTGTGGAAAGGAACCCCTCGTCTTTGGTGGTTGGGAAAACTTTTACCACAGCACCCTTCATTAGAAGGTCTCTTACCTCTGAAAACAGGGCTTCCCTCTTTTCGGGGGAGGCTGGAATGGGCGTGCTCATCCTCCGTACGCAGCCGGAGGGGAAGTAAACTCTATCTGGTACCTACAGGATATTGTCTACATGGTCTAGCTGTCTGGAGACAGCTGTTCCAATTCGTGGGCGAAAAACATCAGCCTCCCCCCTACCGGCCCGGCTCCTACGGAGGAAGCACTTGCAGATGAAAGAACTAGGCATGCCAAAGAGGAGAATGTGAATCTACAGGCCCTGATTCTAAATTTACTTAATTATAGCTTTTATAGGCACTATATATAAGATATAATGTGATAGTACTTCCATGCGAGGGTTATAAGTATGACCTGTTGTAGATGTCATTCAATCCTTTAACAAGGCCCCTTCTAATTAATATTTTATTTTCTTCAGAACCTCAAAGACCAGATCTTGGACAATGAACAGCAGATACAGGTGCTAGAAAAAGAAGTTGCGACTCTGAAAGAAAGAAGTGAGCGTGATGTTGTGTATAATACTAATCAGCAGAAAGATATAATTTCAGATTTGAGGAGAACACATGAACGAGAAAAGTCCATTTTGAAGGAAGAAAACCAGAAGTTGGCCACAGAAGTTGAAAGGGTGAATAATATTTTTCTGTTAAAGCACTGTCTAAATTATCAAATTTTTCTTTGATATAAAACTGTTGTATCCCCATATATGGTCTTGATGTGCCTACATATGGTCATGATGTGATGACATTTTCAGAATATTTTATATACTAGACATAAACAAAACGTTGTTATCATTATCTTAGTCATTGCATATAATTAGTGTACTGATGCTTGCAATCCTCCAGGATTTTTGCTCATTACTATATATTCGATGATATCCCAATTCATTTCTAAGTATCTTTTTAAAGTATTTTGCAAATGATATTCTTATTATTTTTAGCCACATTTCCTATGCCTCGTTTCTGTGACACTGTCTACATCATGTTCATCAATTTGCAAAACTAGTTAAGATGCTTAAATTTATTGAAAAATTTAATGTGTTTTTTTAAACAGAAATCAATGCAACTAGAAAAGCTCTTGCGAGAACATAAGAACTTGGAAGAGGAAGTTCGCGACATGTCAGATAAGAAAGACTCAATTGCACACTGGGAAGCACAGATTGCTGAAATTATCCAGTGGTAAGCAATTGTTTCAAACTAAATATTTTAACACGTTTTCAAGATGACAACATTAATTCAACAAATAAAGTAGGATGCGATCCATTTTCAGCCATACGGGTGTCGAACAGTGTACTCTCCCGTGTAATGTAATCCGCAAATAAGACGACCCCAAGTTTGAGAAGATTTTTGGATGATTTTTGTGTGTTGGGTTTATAAGATGACCCCCTGGTTTCACCATCAAGTTAATACATTTTGTTGCTCTTTTTGGTCTTGATATTGCATATAGCTGGCTAAAAACGGTGCCGATGTAGGGCTAATCTTATAATTATTATTCCTAAAATCTTATTTTCCTGCATTTAAAATTGCATTCATTCATACTAACGGTTAGTAGATTTATTTCAGTACATGATTTAAAAATAAAAAATGTTTATGTTTTGCGTGTATATGACAACACCCTGTTTATCGATATTAATTTGCTATTTTATGTCTTATATGCGAGAATATATGGTAAATACAAAAATTCATTGATGCGATGGGTCATGAGTTAAAGATAAAAATGAAAAGTAAAGAAATGTTTGAATGTCAAAATTTTGTGAAATCTATTTTATTACACTAAACTAAACTTTATATATTTATACATCGTGCTATTTTGTTATTTTCCCCATTTTCAATGTCAAAACAAGATTTTTTAAAGATTTGGTGATGGTCTCTGCCTGAGAAATGTCGGAAATTGTAAACTTTAATGGGTGATTTCTCAAATACTGTTCTTTAAAAAAAAAAAGTTACAAAATACATGGGATGAATAATCATTGGCAATGAGCCTCAGATTTAGGCCTAAACTAACACTGATATCTAAACTGTGCTTGGCAATTTTTTTTGTCTGATGTTGACGAGCATGTTTCCTTTTCTATTTCCAGGGTAAGTGATGAGAAGGATGCACGAGGATATCTCCAATCACTTGCCACCAAGATGACTGATGAGTTGCAGGGTCTGAAAGATTCTGGACCAATGAGGGTACGCCATTCTCGGTGATCTTTTAATATTGTCATTGTCGTCATTATTGATAATTATTATTTTTATCGATATGTAAAGCTGTAAAAGGGAAAAGAAATTTTAAATTTTAAAATTATTTATAATTGTTATCCTATGTTCAAATAACTTCATTTGGTTTCTACGTTTGTATGGTATTGAAACTCTCCCATATATACGACCGTCTTCTGAACCCTGGAGTGCCTGGGGCACTGATGAAGATCCAATGGCATCGGTTTGAAATGTAGCAAATAAAAATTTTGGTTTACTTTAAACAAAATTTCAATACAATGTTATGCTATGGTTAATTAATATTTATTGTTGATTATCCTGCTTATAAAGCATGAATATGATCTAGAATTCTCGAAAATTAAGTATTATAACATCATAAATCTTTGTTGCAACCACTCCTAGTGTGTTTATGTTCAATACAGTGGTGGTATGTTTAGGGAAGGTGTGGACGTGAACTTGTGTCCTTGCAGCCTGAGTGAACCCTGTTAGACGTGAACTCGCGTCCATGGCAGCGAATGTATATAATGTCATAAAAATGAAGAACTTACATTAATCTTATCTTATTATTCTTTATCAAGTATTCTGTTTTTGAATATTTTTTATGATAGGAAAAGGCTTGGCAGACAAGGCGATCCCAGAAGATGGAAAAGATGGAACTTTTAAATTTGCAATCCCAATTGAAAAGCGAAATCAATGCTAAGAATGGAGCTTTTCAAGAACTTAAAGAAGTAAAATATGCTCAATCATTTGTGGAAAAGTAAGTCAAGCGTAGAATAAAGCTATCAACTAAAAGTCATTGCATTTAATATTTATTTGGTGTGCTTCATTGTTTCTCCTTTAGATTAGTCAATAGAGTCGCCATTTAAAAAAGAATAGTTTGGTAGGGCTTTTATGACAAGTGATAACATATTTCACAAGCTTTAACAACACTACAGCTGATTAAAGTGCTAACAACTCGTTTTCATACTTGTAATTACTGATTAATGTGGCTATTCAACCACCTTTGCTTTTTATACTTGTCTATCATAAATTCACGTAAACCTTTAATAATGTACGAAAAATGTAGCTGAATGATTCTATATAAAATGTTGAGTTTGTAACCTAGTGTCTTTGATTACTTATTTATATATATATATATATATATATCACTCGCCACTGAGGAAGGACTAGTGTTGTCCGAGAGCTCTGGTTCTATTTCTGGCTGTTTACTTACGTTTACTTTTTAGCTGTTGCTTATCATTTTTGTATCTCCACCGAGATCCAGCCATTGTTTCACACAGCATTGTTGCTGTCTCTTATACACATCTAGATGTGTATAAGAGACAGATATATATAATAGTAATTGTGGATCCATTTATAATTATTAAGATGATCACATAGGTAATCAGGATATAGCCTATAATGTTCTCGTCGTAAATTGCTTAATTACATACTGTAGTATCAACATGCTGTGATATATAATATTTTGGAACATTTAATGTAATAAATACAGAAAATAAATAAATTTTCCTTTCAAATATTTGAAATTGGAATTTTTGGCTGGCTCCTCGGGACCCGCAGTAGACAAGGTGCAGTGTTAACTCTCATGTTAAGGGTTAGTGCATCGGTTGTAGGTTGCACTCCCAACCTTGAGGTCAGGGGTTTGAAACTCTCACTGTGCAAGTCGCTTGTGTCCTTGGACAAGGCACTTATCTACATTTGTCTCTCTCTGCCCAGATGTATAAATTGGTACCTGGGAGGATGTTGTGGCATCGAATGAACTAGTTTTGTGCTGGTTTGCCATTGTATGTCATCAAGTGACCAGGGTAATCACGCTCAGCGCTTTTGATCATTCAATTTGGAATTGGCGCTATATAAATGTTATATTATTATTATCAGGGATTATTATTACCAGGGTCTTCAGTATATTACCTCTCGGCCTAATGCTCAGCTCATAAACAAATACTTTACCTTATCATTTCTGTATCTACAGTAAGTTACAGAAATCACAACAAGAGAATGATGATTACAAGCGTGAGATAGAAGAACTTAAGTTAAAGATTGAGGACCTGGAGTCTAAGCTCCAACAGTCAGAAAGTAAGTAGCAATATGTATGGAATTGCAGAAATACTATTAAATGTGCTTCCAACATTCACATTTAATACATTAATTGCACATGAATTTACATGAAGCAAATGTACACATACATTTGTATAAACACATGTACATATACATTTGCACATATTTACCCACCCATTTGCCTATGTGCATTTAAATTTATCACAAACATATGTACAAACACACACACATACATTTACACAATTCTAAAAACACACATACATTTACACACTTATACATTTACAAAATTTAAATTTTTTACAAACACATGTTCACATACATTTAATGCATGTTACACATACATTTACACAATCATACACAATTATTCATCATTTGCACCAACACATTTACACATGTACTCATACATTACACATACCACCGGTAGGTACACAGACATAATCAACAGATGACTAAACGTATTGTACACAAGAGAACACATTGTAATTTGTACGGATATGCACGAACACGCTGTTGACGTTTGCACGATGTATTCTTCATCTTCTTGCTCTTCTTAAACCTAGGCTCTGAGGGCGCTCAATACTTCAGGAATTTCTTGAGAGAAAATACGTCAATATTTAGTGACGACACAACAAACGTAACCACTGAGGTAACAGACATTCTTGTAGTACAGTCAGAAATTCTTTGAATATTGCTTGTATAAGCTTGTGTCTGAATGCACGATGAGTTGTGTTCCACTCTCAGAAAAGCATATGTTTGCATGAATAAATCGGCTATACAACATTATTTTCAATGTTTCTGAGTGTTATAATTTATTCTATATTCTAAGATTATTATTCAAGAATACATTTGATTACTTTATTTCCAATTTTTCTTTAGATTGATGGGGATGATTTCAAAGCAATACCAGAAACACATGAAGATTTAGAGAATGATGATAGTAAGGACCATGAAAGACTTCCAGTAAGTATTTATCTATTTATCTTGACTTTTTGACTTTTGTAAGCTGTGTAATTTTTGTACTCTTGTATTCCTATCTGTTGTATGGAGATAATAGATTTAAAATATATATATACAAGTACTGTATCTCATTAGAGATCGAGCAAGCCGAAATTAATGCACAGAAGAGGGCATACCTTGTAGATCTCTTGCAGTCTAATCACTTGCGAAATTAATGCCATATGAAAATTGTGACGTCAAACACATTAAAATATGTAAGGAACTCAAATTCTACTGGTGTTTGGACCACCAAAATAAATGCCTTGTGATCAAGTGGTTATGACGTTCGCCATGCATGCTAAAGATCCTGAGTTTAAGTCCCTATGGAGGCCAATTTTTTTTTTCTTTGTCAGATTCCTTTTCTGTTTCGTTTGTAAATAGTAAAGAAGAGGTTTCTGCGAGTGCGAAAAAAAATTTTCCCAACTGGAATCTGAAGCTGGGATCTTCTGCTGTGTATGCAGGCACCCTAACCAATTAACATCTCGACGCGATTTGATTGACAGATAAACCGACTATTCAGCGAGCGTCATTTAGTCACGTGATCAAAACCTTCTCTCGGGGATTTTAATTTCCTTAGACAGTTGGTTTAAACGCAAAATATACATGAACCTAGGCCTAGATGTCTATGCTTGGTTATAGACACCCAGATTTAGTGACTTGGCCTTTGCCGACAACAAGGTTGACTGAATGCGGCTTTTCCCTCTTCCTTTGGGACCGAAATACAGAGACTTTTACAACAATTTCCCCGCCATGTTTCATGAAATAGATTAACACTATGAATATATGATTCATTTGCATACCGCCTACCCTGAATTCTCTTTCTTAAAGAAGGTTGATAGCAAAGAAAATCTTCGCCAACTCGGTAAGTCTAGCTGCCATTGTTTTCGTCACTGTGGGCGGGGCTTCGCGTCCTTGTCGACATGTCAATTGGGCCATTAAGATGTTTCCTTGGAAGTTTGAATTTAATTGAAGGCAATTGATTTTGCACTCTACGGTATTCTGATACAGCACTGATTTTTTCACCCATTTTGACTTTTTGTGTTGTGTGTTTATATGCTATAATATCGTTTACTTGCAGAAAACAAGTATACCTCCTTATGGCAAAACCAGTTCTTCACATCATCCTGAACCCAAAGCACATACATTCAAGGTTCAATCATTTCATACACCAACAAAATGCATGCACTGCACCTCACTCATGCTGGGTCAAGACAGGCAGGGATTATCTTGTGATGGTAAGGCTTATACAACTAACTTATAAATCTTTAAAAAAAAAAAATTGAATTATTTAAATGATATTCTATTTGTATTTAAATTGTTATGATTTTATATATATATTATTTACATAGTGAAGTATGTGATGTAGTTTGATTTATATAGCGCTTTATACCAGAGTCTCAAAGAGCTTGAGGTTTGGTGGCCAGGCCGGGCTAGGCTAGGCCAGGCTAGGCTAGGTTTTCTTCTCACCTAAGGGTCTCCTCATGTCTGAGCTACCCTGTAAACCAGTACCAGATATATCTCATCTGTCCATAACCGGGGCTGTATGAACCAGTACACCATGTAACCCCTTTCTTGTCTTGAAAGATGTACTAAGAGAGCAGCTTAGCTCAGTCGGCTAATCTGGTGGTAGCCACTGTGTGTGCGCTGAACCGTGGAGATCTCTAGGTCCCCGGTTCAATTCCCATCGCTGCCTCTCCTTGTGTTTCACCTAGAGGGCTGAAATACAAGTGTGCATTTCTGGCCCATGTGCACGTTAAAGAACGCAGTACACTCTTCGGAAAAGAGTTGGGGATTGTCTCCCGGTGTACTGTTCAATCACCACCAGAAGGACCCCACTGGAAATAAGTCTTCTTCTAGACTTTCGTGGGCTATCCTTGATGTTTACACTGAATAAATCCATTCCATACTGGGTTGTGTAATGTGCACAAGCCAAATTGTGTACACTGGACCTATGGTTTCGAGTCCTCATCCGAGAAGACTTTTTTCAGCACCAAAACTATAGGCGAGCGTGCCGTTGGAACCAGCGCCTATGTTACGGCTGTATGTTACGGCCATTCGACTCACTAGTAGTAGTAAATAATTCTTCTGAATAAATCTGAATTCCTAGGGTAGGATAAACAAGACTGAGAGCCATGTTTTTTTATCATGATGTTTTAATTTGTCTTTGCCCATATTTAATTTTTATTTATTGATTATTCTTGTTTAGTGATTGAAATGCCTTAATGAATAATTTATTTTATATTTAAATTTGACCTATTGTCATCAAGAAATATTGACTGTATAGATAGATTGAATACAGGTCTCCCTCTAATTAAAGACCCCTCCAATTAAAGACCATCTCCAATTATAGACTACTTTTTTGTGGTCCCAAATTAGCAAATTTCTTCTATCTTTATTGTTCTAATTAGAGACCAATGCTGCTAAAAACCATGAAAACCCTGGTTCCAGAAGTGGTCTTTAATTGTAGGGAGATTGACCATTAGGAAATTGTAATTGTATATATCTACTTGTCTAATTCTAATTGTATAATTGTGTATATTTCCTCACCCCCCCCCCATAATTGTGTATATTTCTTCACCCCCCCCCCCCACCTTCTGCAGTCTGCAGGTTCGTATGTCATTCATCGTGTGCTGAGAAGACTCCAGGTGTATGTCCGATGCCAGAATTTCAGAGCAAAAGGCCCCTTGGCATAGATCCAAATCGTGGCATAGGTACAGCATACGAAGGATTCGTTGGAATACCAAAACCAGGGGGTGTGCGCAAGGGATGGATGCGACAATATGCAGTTGTATGCGACTTTAAACTGTTCTTATTTGACATGGGGGAAGGGCGTCTTGCTGCACCTACAAACAAGATAGCACATGTAATTGATATGAGGTAATTATCTGATGAAGGTTTTTAATTTTATTTAATACAGTATTTAATTCCTTCACACCCAACAGCAATCACTTTCGCAGTTACTTTATAAACAGTTTCTCGCATCTTACGAAATGGAGCTGTTTGTAGTTATCAGAAAAAATTCTGTTGTCTTAGGTTTTTAACTCAGAAATTCAACCTTGGAATTTGAAGGCAAGCATCCCAACAAAGAGCAGCATAGCCCAGTTGGCTAAACTGGTAGTTGGCACTGTCTGTGCACTGAATAACTGTGGAGTTTCATTGTTATCCTTTTTGTACCTGGTTTAATTTGGGATTTTTAACTAAAAAAAAAATGTACACTGTTTAAACCAGGGCTGATTTTAGCATATTTCAGAAAATGCAATAATTTAAGAGAATTTATTAAAAAACATAAATAATCTTATATATTTTTAATGAAAATGTAATTCTCTCTATGAAGCTTTGCTCTTTCTCATCTTCTTTAGGGATGAGGAATTTTCTGTGAGTTCAGTTCTGGCTGCTGATGTAATCCATGCCAATAGGAAAGATGTACCATGTATCTTTAAAGTAAGTGAACATATGGTCACATGGTTTGCAGCAACCAATCTTAATACAGTAGTATAGTATTATTTATGTACATGGGAGATGATACAACTCTTGGGTAATTTTATTAATTTAACACTTGAAAAAGACAAATGGTAATGAAATTGGCATAATATAATTTACTGACTATCAGATATCTGAAAATTTTGCTTGTAAATTTTGTTACCTTTACCTCTCCTCCTAACTGGTCAATTTTAAGGAAAAAATTATTTTAAAATTCACAAAGGTTGGGAGGAGGGGAGAAGGTAGTATATTGATAAGCATCATTTACGTGTAACTAGTAGTAGAAAATTTGAAAAAAGGAAATTGAAATGTATAAAAAACAAATATTAACATAACACGTCAAGATCTGGTTTTAAAAAATACTTGACACCGCAACACTTGTCGGGAATATTTCAATTCATTTTAAATGAATGCATGAATTTGCCATTCAGGTGTCGGCATCGCAACTGAATCCCCCAAGACTGCAGGCACAGCTACTGCTCCTGGCAGACACAGAGGGCGACAAACATAAATGGGTTCAGGCATTATCAGAATTAGGTCGTATACTGCGCAAGAATAAACTGCCTGATTTGTCTGTGTTCGAAGCTAAGGAAATTTACGACAGCTCTTTACCTCTTGTAAAGATTACTCAATGTGCTGATATTGTAGGTAAGTCAAATGAACATTAATATATATATATTTGTGTGAACCACTTGAAGCAGGGGCGGATCCAGTTTAGGGGCCCCTGGGGTGGGGCACATGCTGCAGTTTTGCCACTACGTTTTAACATTTCAATGCATATTAGTGTATTGAAATAAGTGCTAGTTGAGTTTGGTTGAGTTTTGATCATCACCAATGTGGCTGTTGATAGAAAATGATAACAATAATAGCACAATAGTTCTTGCCTCATTAGCTTAAAACGTTTTTATAAATTGTATTTATTTTGAATAATTTATTATTAATTTTACAATTTTTTTTTATGTAGATGGAAATAAATTTGTAATGGGAACAGACGATGGATTGTATACAGTAGAAATCTCAACAGGCTATGTGGTAAGAGCAGACAGTAAACGAGTTTATCAAGTTCAAGTTTTAAAAGAAGACCAGCTTGTTATTGTCATATCAGGTAAAGTAAACCAACACAATCCAGTGAGCTTGTGGGAAAGGGGAATTTTACCTAAGATAATTTTCTTGCAGCACCCCCCCCCCCCATTTTCCCGCAAAAAAGAAGAAAAAAACCACAGTTCGTCAGGGAGAAAGAAAATGATATGTATTTTCTACATTTTTATTAGATTACTATTTTTGCTATTAATGCAGGTAAGGGGCGCCATCTTCGTCTGTTTCCAATAGCAGCCCTGGATCAGGATGTCAGTAGTATCAAAGTTGAGGAGCCTAGGGGTTGTACTATGTTCACCACGGGCAGGATTCGTCAAGGCTCCACCACATGCCTATGTATTGCCACCCGTCGGCATGTTTATGTATATGAACTTAATCGTACACGTGTACGACATAGAAAGATCAAAGACATTGCATTGCAAATCCCAGTCCAGTGTATGGAAGTGTTTGGAGGTAGACTGTGTGTTGGGTATTCGTCTGGTTTTGGTCTCTATACAATACAGAATGAAGGAACACACTTGCAATGTAAGTAAGAGAAATTCTATTTTATGTAGCAGGAATGTTTATAGCCTTGGTTCATATTTGTCCTAATAAGTTACAGGAAAATATTACATATATAATGTTATTTATTCAATCAATATTAATGAAAACATAACACATGGCAGCCAAAAAGCTGAATTAGGTTTATAAGAGGATTAACTAACAATACAAATAAGGAAAATTACAAAACCAAAAAGGAGACCACTGCACAATATGTAAATTGTTTGAATAATTACATTAAAATAGCTGAACAATAATTTAATAAAAAGTGAAATATTATTGAGAAAATTACATAACTATTAAAATTATATAAATGCTTGCGGTACACCACATAGAATAGAACTGTGTTGGTTGAGAATGTCTCGACATTCCGGTTGAGTTGCTTCGGTCGTCTTCAGGAGAATAATATCTGATTATTAAAATTATCATAAGGTACATTAAAAACTACATTGTAGTCATTATTAAATAGAATTATAGAATTAGTTAATTATGCATTTACTGATATGAATTTGAACTCTTAAAAATATTTTCTATTTTTAGCTTTGGTAAACCCAGAGGATCCTACCTTAGCCTTCATTACAACGTCTCCTCTGGACTCATTAGCGGTCGTTGACCTCAATTCAAAGGAATACCTTCTGTGTTTTATGAGTAAGTTTTATTTAAAGTAGTTTGATGAAGTTTTAAAGTATTTATTTTTAATAGATAATATGCCAGCCCAAGATACTATGTTATTCATGTGCTTTGAACACCCACTGATAGCTAGGAGCACGTCCGTGTGAGAGCGCTTGTCAAAATCCTGAATTGGAAAGTGTGAACATATGGGAAAAAAATCGGGGTCACATGGGGTGTTTTCCTGGACTCTGACTGGGTAGTTCAAAAAAACAAACACTTGGATGATGTTCTCCGATAATTTTTGGTTCAGAATATGGAATTCAAAACATTTCCAATTGTAATAAAATACAAAATAATAGAAAATAACTCATTCTCATAAAAAAATTATAAGAATATTAAAGACTAATATATATATTAGATTTATGTAATGTTATTTTTGACGTAATTTAAAAAGACTCTGTGCCCCTTGTCTTTCCTCTGCTTTTTTCCAGGTTTTAAAATTGAGTCAAATGCATCTATTATTTTTGAAATTGGCATGATAAAATTATTTGGTTATTAATTAGTATTATTATTTATTCATAATTAGTTACTATTAAGTTGTGGAAATTAATAATACGTTATGTTTGTAAATAAAAGTTCTAAGGTTCCATCTTAAAAAAAAAAAAAAAAAAATACAATAATTAGTTTTGTTGTTCAAACTTTTTTAAAACGCGTATTCATTTCGGTTTTTAGCTGTTGGCGTGTATGTTGATTACAATGGTAAAAGGTCAAGGCATCGGGAGCTGATGTGGCCATCACCTCCAACTGCAGTTTGTAAGTTTTCTGGTCTCATTGCTTTTAAAAATTATCTAATTTGGTTCAACAACACATAATTTGAGGGATTGATTTTTTTATACACAATTTTTAAATATCTATTTGAAAATATTGATTTTTTGAATCCCTTGAAATTATGTTGACAAATTAAACAAAAAAACTAGCTTGTGTGGCAAATAAATTTGTGTCAAAAGAAGGTGCTGCTTGTTTTGCTTGGTTCATTAATTGTCTGACTAATTTTGTTTTCATTTTAAAATGTTGTAATATGAATGCATAAATGAGATTTTGTTGAATATTCAACAGGCACCTAGGGGAGCCTTTTCAAGACGATTAATTTAGGATCAATATCCCTTTCATTTTCAGTGCAAAAATTCCCACTCCCCCCACCCAACAATTTATCAGGGGAAAAAAAATCATTTTTACAGAATGTGAACCTCTTTAAATTTAGCCTTCCAAATCTCAAAATTGTCAGAGGGGGTTCTGGGCTGTTACGGGCCCTTAAACCTATGCTCCTATCGGACAAATTTTGGCACTGTCACTGCCTGAATATATCAAAGATATATACATTTTAAAATATTTATGAAATTTGATAGTTTACATGATTACATTTGTGTACCCCGTGCATTAATTTATTAGGTTATGCTGAGCCATATCTAATAGTGTATAGTGAGACTTCTGTTGACGTGTTTGACATTCAGGAGATGCAGTGGATCCAGACAATACCTATTAAGGGGGTAAGCATTATTAGGAAAGGGGGTGTTGTAAGTGTTATTAATTTAGTACTATATCTGCTACATTTATATTTTTTTTTAAACCTATTTCTGTATTATTATTGCTTTTTCATTTCCTTTTTTGTTACAATTATATAACTATTTTATCTATAAACATTTATACCATAGTATTTCCGAATAGGATGCATATCCCAAAAGATATATAACTTGGTCATGGTCATGTATTTTTGTAGCGCATTCCACAATAAAAACCACCACAATGCGCTTTTTTGCCACAAGAAACTGAAATTCAATTGAACAGGCACAAGGAAAGGAGGAAGGTACACCCCTGATCTTGAGGTCGCATGGCCATCACTACCACTGCCCTTCCAAGGTAAAGCAACGTAATTTAGCAAAAATATAAAAGAAGTTACGTTGTTTTGCCATGGGACGTACAAGCAGGTAGTGTATCTCGGCATCAGTATGCTGGGCTCTGGTGGCTTTCACCAAGGATAAGCGTGCGCCTCTACTACCGTGCACTGCTAAGTTGGCGGTATGGAGGTGCGACTTGTCAGGCTGAAAACTGGATAAAAAAACTATATTTAATTTTTTATTTTATCAGACACGAGTCCTTAGCCGTGATGGAAGGTTAAACTTGAGTTTTGTTACTGATCTGCATCAGCCGAGACTTGTATACCTTAAGAACAAGAACTCTGGTGAGTGACATCATCACACTTAGCATTACTTATGCCTCATGATGTGATTACTTGTATTTTACTCTCTTCAACTTTACCACATTATTTTTTATATTTAATTTCTGTAGATGACAAGGGCCTTGAATTACCAGAGAAACAAACCTCAAAAGATCGCAGAAAAATATCATTTAAGAGTAAAGATGAAATGAAGAGGCAAGTATTTTTAATTCCTTATTTTAGTAATTATGTCATTTCAACAAAATATGCTTTAATGAAGAGTGTCTTCAGCAATGTGTCTTTTAGAATAATTATTGTAGTTCTTCACTCTATCACTTAAATAATATTTTTATTTCTGCAGGACAATTAATAAGAAGTCGATGATATCTGGTCCATCCAATTTCAATCACTTGGCTCACATGGGTCCAGGAGACGGCCTGCAGATACTCAAAGATTTACCGGTTAGTTCACTCATCCAGGTTTTTATAGCCTATCAAAGTGATGGTGATGACAGTGATATGTAAAGATAAATGCTTTGGCCATGCCGGGTGATAGTTAATTTGATAATAAAGATGACATGATGGTGGGAGCGGATTGATGAAAATGAGGGTGAGGATGATGATGTTCTGGTGTACTACTGTGATAATGATGGAGATAGCAAAAAAAGAGAAATGATGGTCATCCGCTTTTTTGTAGGATTTGAGTATTGATTATTAAGGGTACTGGTGGGATCTATATTTTAGGCTAAACACACGGCATTCAATAAACTGCCTGTTTACTACCAGGGTATAGTTAATTATGCTCATTTAGTCAGTCACAAGAGTGCAGTATTTACTGGTGAAATGGTAGCCTGTACACTAAATTGGCTATGCAAACTGATAGAAATACTGTTAACATATACATATTTTGTCTGAAATGGTTAACATTGCATCTGAAGGTGATAAAATCATGTGAATTTTATTGAAAAGCCTTTTAAAGCGGAGGACTCCTTACGGTTGACGATGCGCGTTGAACTGATCGTCTCACACGACGATCCTTTCAGACCGCCATCGACAATCAGCAGACGGCTTCACGTCATCTAGCTCTTACAGGGGGCGGGGTTGGATTCGTTGCAGTATCTGGCTTTAGAAGGCAAGTAGTATTCAAATATTTGAATGTTTCTCCTTTTGTATCAGATAAACAAACCACAAGAGGATGCACCACCAGGGATGGAGAGAGTGAAAAGTATGTTCCAACCGGCAGGCTTGCCACCAGCAACTGCTAGTAAACCAATTGTGCGACAGAGACCGCACACGACCATTCAGATAGGTGGACGAACAGACGCTAACAACGTGAATGGTAGCGAGCCGTCTACTAGTCCCAAGATGGATATGCAGCATTCGCCGGAAGGCTTCCTGCCGAGGTCCGATATGAGTTTATTCGGAGAAGACTTTACATTTACATCAAGTCATAGGCTGTCTTTAGGTAAGGATGATACGAGTAGTGGAATATCGTCTGGTAGTGCATCAAACTACTAACCAAGAGTATTCCACTAATGGTCATGTAATGTTGTCTGTAATAATCCAAATTATAGAGAAGAGGTGGCAATGAAGTATGTTTGCCAAAAGGACATCAAAATTTAAATCTTTTTTGTGTTTGTAAGTATCATTGTAAATTGTAAAAAAAGTCATCAAATGATATTGTAAATGTTTATAGTGCAACATTTTAAGTTAAATTTGGCTATTATAAAAATTGATAATTGGAAATTTTATGTAACCTAAAACCAGGGGTCCCAAGATGTAAGAAGCCATTTTCATGAGATGTAGTTATTACATAAGCTCTCTTAACACATCTAATCAGGGCCGCCGAGAGTGGCCGCGGGCCCCGGGGCATCTTCGCTGCCAGGGCTCATTGGTTGGGGGTTTGGGACCACCTGGGCCCCAGCAGGATGGAGGGGCAGATCCCTGGTTCCCCCTCCCCGGAAGCTACGGCCTATAAACGGATTAGAGGACAATTTAAATGATTATAGAGTGCCTACACCAGGTTATGAAAAATGAAGTATAGAAATATAAAAAGCCTGACCTATCCTCCCTTTTATCCAAACATACTGAAAGGATTCATAACATGTATTAAATACAGTGGCAGATCCAGGAATTTTAAATAGAGGGGACCCGAGAAGGGACATTCAGGGATAGGCGGTCTATCTACCTCAGCCCCACCATGGTTGGGGCTGAGGTAAGTAAATTTATGATTATAGCACCTTGGGACGGCCGGAAATTGCACTCTTAGACTTAAATTGAAGTATATTTTTTTTTTCAACATTTTTTTTACATTTTGCAAAATTTAGGGGGTTGGTGAGGGGCCTGCCTTTAAATCCGCCACTGGTTTAATATATTAATTCACTATTTTTTTGACAATCAAACCTCTATCAGGTCTTTGCGTATTTTATAACTTCAAGCCTTTTATATATATTAATTAAATAACGTAAAGAATTTACTATTTAATAAATTGTAAACATAGATTCTAGAGTAGTAGAAGTCATGAAAATATTCATAAAAAAGAATTAAAAGCAATTAAATACCAGCTTTCATCAATAAACGGTCAACTTTATTTACAATTTTCGTGGGAAAAACACATGAATGATACTGGAGAAATGTATATGTTTAATAACTTGTATTTATTTATATTATTTTATTATATTTAGCTAGTTATCCCGGGGTACTTGCCCCGGTTTCCCCGGCGCTATTGCATCTAATTATATTTTGCTGCCAATGGTGATATGCATCGGCACTGACCTGCATGAGACAATTGATAATAAATTAGTAAAAATTTGCAAATATCATGAATTTGCTTGAGATCGGTTTATTTTCTGGAGTGCGGGTGGTTGTCTTGATTTCTAGGAGACTGTCACGATTTGTGGAGACTTGCCAAAACTGAGGCAGTCTAAATTTAGAACTAAGTGAGTGTTCTCCATGTTTGATATATATATCATAGACATTCCTAATAGCATAGCCTCTTGCCCAAGAGTTTTACCTTGAAATATAACTATATAAGAATTTTAAAATTATATCGAATCATGTATAAATAAGCCTTTAGTTTTTAAATACTGTATTTGTATTCCAATTATGCACTTCAATGCATATTATTGTTTCCATTGAAACATTTTTACTCTGATAATTATGCTAACCTCTGGTAAAATTTATACAGGTATGCATATTAATAATATATGACTGCAAAAAACACTTATTTTATTTATTTTTTAAATTTTGTTTATAGTGTGCAATATGCCTATAGTGGACCATACTATATTAACTGCTTTTAGATATTACATAAGCAATACTGTAGTACATGCATATCTCGATATATACAATGTATATTCCCGCATACATGCCTACATACCGTAAAACTTGAATGGAAGCCCTTTTTTAGCGACATTTCGATGGGCTTCTTGTCGAGGCTACTTTTGCAAAATAAAGAGGGAGCTTCTTTTTAAAGTTAATGCTGTAAATTTTGTGAATTACTACTATCACAATAGGGCTCCTGCAGACCTGTTAAAAAATAAAGAAAATCATTTTTTTAATGATGACTTACGAGGTGGGCTTCTTTTCAATACTACTTTTGCTAATTAAAGTGGAGAGGGGGTGGGGCGGTGGCTTCAATTTAGAGATGGGCTTCTCCTCAAGATTAAACACATTGGGTTTCTTTTTGAGGTTTTACGGTATAACATTAATAATACATTTCATCAACATTGTACAACTATCTATGGCATTCACTTTCTTGCAAGCCTCATTATCAAAATGCTCAAAACACAGCTGTTGTGGTGCCAGGATTTGCCCAATGGGGAATTCAAGATGCCTGACGGGAACATAATTGGGTGGGGGCTAGGCGAATTCCAGAAGCCCTTAGGCGTGGTCCAGGGGTGAGACCCCAAATAACCTTCAAAATTTATAAATTAAAATGGCTTATTCAATCAATTTTGAAGTTTCACATTCTGTAAATTTGTTTGTTTTAATCCCCGAAAATCGTTCTTTCTGGTTAGGTGAGAAGGTTGGGGGGGGGGGGGTGGCCCTGGTCCTCATCCTCTACACTTGCGCCACCACTGAAACACAAATCTACAGGTAGCTTTTCAGTCTGATCATACTGTATATATTATTTGCTTCAATGCATTTCACTTTGTGTACATTGTTGCTTGCCATGTTCATTCTCCACCTTTCTTCCATCTTCTTAGGTTCAAATAACAGCTCCAGCTCCCCGCCCACTCCTCAGAGAACAAGTTTTGTGGAGCCGGACCAAGGCTCAGCAGGCTCGGGCTGGGAAAGTGAGGACAAGACCTCCAACTAATCTGACATCTGTTGTCAAAGCAATTATTGTGTACATCTGCCTTTAAATATGAAAACATGCCAGTAGACCTGTTGACAAATATAGATAGTATGCACTTTGCTTTGATGTAGGCCTAACCAGTGTTGAGACACTGCGATCATCATCATTAACATAATCAACTGCTTATTTCCACATACTGTATTAAACCAATTTCTGCTACTAGATGCTGGTTTTCTCCTCTACAACTTGTTTTTCAAACTGAACTAATTTTGCAGCTTCATCTCTAGAAAAAATTGTTACAATTCAAGTTGTTTGTAAATGGATTTTAATGTTTGGTCAAAACTGGTGATTAAGTGAATTTGAAATGAATACTTAGAAATGGCAATTAAGAACAAAAATTAGCACTAACTAAAAATCATGTCAAAGAATAAAAGATATATAAACTATATACAGTATAAGAGTGGAGTTAATAGACAACCCAATGATAAATGTGTGCGTGTGTGTGTACTTAATATATAAAACAAGTAAGTAGATGGTGAAAAAATTGGGGCCAGTTCAAGGTAAATAAAATTTCCTACTGAAATCATTCTTGTAGAAGCGATGGTGAAAGGTGTTTCTTCGTTTCCAAGATTTTATATTTGTTTTTTCTTCCAGGGGAAACAATTAGTATATGTGTAAAGAAAGAATGAACTATTAAAACATAGATGGGAGTGAGAGAGTTTTTAAGAGTAATTGGGACCTCAAGTTTTCACCCAACCTTGTCTTATAGTCTAAGAAATTATTTAAGCCAAGTAGTAGAATGCTTGCTGTTTTTATATCTTGCATTCAAAAAATATCAGAAAGTATTCTAGCAACTAACAAAATCATGGTAAATCGGTATTTTGCAGCGCAAGGCTTTAACAAAATGTATCAGAACTAGGTGCTGAGTTCGGTGGACTTTTTGAATCATATTGGTGGCTGTATTTAAATTATTCTACATGGACTCATTGCGTTTGCATGATATCAGGGTTAAGGTTTGTTGCCTTCATACCTTGATATATTCAGATTTTATTTATAGGAGCAATGTAACGGATTGTTTATATCTTAGTTGTATAGTTTAATTACAAATGTGCATTTTCCACATGTGTACGTGCGTGCGCGACACAAGAGTATGGTATTCGGAAATCCTAGACAGTCTTCCAAATCACAAAATAAACAAGACATAAATCTAGTGATATGCTCCATATTTTTTTTATTTTCGTGAATTCAAAGCGAGTAAATGGGTCAGCGCTAGATGTAATAATCGGTAATTAAGTTATTTGAATAATAAAAACAATTGGCTAATTAACTGCACTCTTAGAATGTGATTGACGGTTTAGCTTTTGCTATTTAATACACTTGTTTTCATGTGAATAAAACTGTAAAAACAGACTAAAAATAATGTTATGCTATAGCCTCTCTGTGACTCCTTTTTTCGACCGTCTTCAAATTTGGTTTTGTTCCTCTGTAAGAAAAAGAAAGCAAGGTAAAAGAAGGTTGTTTTGATAATGCAGTTATAAGTTACATATGTAACAAATGTTACAAATGGCTGAGCAGGTAAGGTAGGGGCACTGGTTCTGCAGGTGGAATAAATCTTTTCGGATAAGGACTATAAACCATAGGCCCAGTTTACATAATTGGCTCATGTGTACTTTAAAGAACCTAGTACAGGGTTACCCTGGTGTACTGATCCATACAGCTCATTGTCTTGTGATGGAATTGCCACTTTGAAGAATGATGAAGTTCACTGGCATATCCTTGGCCCTAGTGCCTAAAGCAAAATAAAGCAAATTACCTCTTCCAAACTCTCGGTTCTACCATATTTCGTCTTTCATAGTCCTTGTAGCATTCCTTAAGCATGTCTCCTTCAGGCTATAAAGAACAATAACAAAATCTGAGATGAAATACTTAACATTTACATAATTAAATATACATGTGTACCATAAAATTGTTGATAGTGCACTGAATGTAAAAATACCCATAGTGACAGGCTAAAAAACAAACTACCAAATTAATGGCTTAATGTCCCTATTCAAAAAATGGACCAACCTTCAGTTCCCGTAAGCTCCCAACAAGTTCATCACTCAACTTGTAAGAGATTGGTACAGCTTCATATCTACACAGTGTACATTAAGGATGTGATACACTTTTACAACAATATCTTTTGCACAGCAGAAGGTAATATGCCAGTCGGTGTACAGTAATTTAATGACACTTTCATAATACAAGCAGCATTAAGGCAGATGATTTTTATACCCTGTTTTGTGAACCCTCTGCCTGCCGACATGAAATCTTCCATTAAGAAAATGAAACCATTTTATCAATCTGTTTACCGATTACAAACACATGATAGGATTGCCATAGTCTGTATTACTATAAAGCATAATAATCCTAAGTCGTGTGTGTGTGTTTGTACAAGAAATTTGTGTAAAACAAAACTTGATGGTACGGAATTGGTGTCGTGTAATGCTGGCCCCGTAGTTGTTCATATTTATGCTGTCTGAGTTGGCCTTTACATATATACATTTTACTACATCAAAAATTATTCCTTAAATATACCAACTTGATTAAAATTAAAAGGATACTTGTGGGGCCCGATTTGTTTGGTCTTTTTGGAAAGTTGTTTCTTCACTGCCAATTTCTTCTCCCTTTTCTTTTTCATAAGGTCCTCCTCCTCTTTGATTTCATTTTTTAGAGCTTTCAATCTATACACTTGATGCATCTTAATATTCTTGTCTTTCCCTTTTTGTATTTTGTTTTCCTGTAAATAAAATGATGATTATTAAATATATTCCACTATTATATATCCAGGGTTCCCCTATAACTGGCAGAGTAGTATAATTACCACCAGTACACTTTTACAGTATATAAACTGTAACATGCATAGAATATCTGGTTTAAAAAGCAGCCTTGTTCTGGTTTTTGTAATGTGTTTTATACCTGAATAAATAAATAAAACCCATGAGCTTCTGAGCTATCATGGTTGATAGTGCCCAGAATACTACTTCTACTTTAGGTTATATTTGCAACTAATTGGCAACGCCCTACACTCCCTAGTCATGTAAATGCATTCATAAAATAAACAGTTCCATTACTGTATATGAGAAGAGTCTTACAATATTTTATTAAATAATTAATTCAGCAAAAAAAATAAATGTTACCAAGAAGAACCATTTTTTAGGAAAAGGAGCTCAATCAGAATACTAGAATGATGTGTAAACACAGCCCTTTTTAAGCTTCATTTATGTATTTTTACTAGAGGGTACACTCCACTCTAGTATGTGAACGTCGCGATTAATTTCGTAAAATAGCCACAAGACTTCTTTTTGAAAGTTGCCCTTTTGGCATTCTGTATAATAAAACCAGATTCTTAATGTTGCTCTTTTGGCTTTCCATATACAAAATCAATTGACAGATATGGATGTTTCTATATTGTTACCATTTTACCAGCCAAAATGACAGTTAACCGTAAAACTTTAAGCCTAGTAAATAAAATATTGGTACTGTGCTTGGGCAATATATTAACAATTACTTTTGTCCATACTATTATACATTAAATATATCATTACCATTTCTTTTATTTTGGCTTCTTTTTGTCTTTGAAGCCTGGTTTTTCTTGTTCCTGTTTTACCAGCAGTATCATCCTCCTTAACACTCTCTTTTATAGCAATTGGCTGTTTCTCTTCTTCGTTGAACAGACCTTCAGACATTTCACTTAACCAATTTTTCTTTAAAAAATGAAATAAAACCAATTAAAAACTTAAATACAAGATATTTTAACTGTGATAATGCATGACTAGCAAATATGCATGTAACAGTAATGAATAAGGCCTAAAACATTTCCCTTATGAAAAATATTTAGAGGGGCAGGTGAAAAAACAGGGGTGGCGCCAGTTTGAGGTCCCCAACGAGAGCAAATTGGGCATGGTCAGGCATCGCTCAAAATGTTTTAAGTGATCCAGCGGGCGAAGCCCATGAAATATATGACAATTTATGGGTTTCAAAGGCGCCAGCCCAGCCCAAAAATGTACCAATCTGAAATTGGATGCAGTTGTTCTGGTTACCTGCTGATCATAAGCATCTACTGTGGAAAACGAATGCCATCTGTTTACTTTGGCTTCCTTCTTCTCGCATGCCACAGCTTCCACTAATGCATCTTTCAACAGGTCCTTAAATAATAAAGAAAAAAACATGGTTACAATTACAATTGACAATATTACTGTAGGGAGATTTTGCAACCTTACAAAAAAAATAACGAATACGAACTTATCATTATCATCATTTGTGGCTAAAGCATTCTTGATAATATGCTATACTGTAGGGAAAAGGTTGTCTAAAGATTTGAGGACGTAAATGTATTTGTTATTATTTTTGTTAGCCTGCCTATTGACATTTTATAAAATTGCACGATATCAGTAACCAAAAACTCATTCATGGGTATAGGCTAGGTGTGTAGATACACCACCTCTCACTAAATGGGTTATAAAATAACAAAAATATATTAATGACTTGAGTTTTCACTGGAATAGGACTTTAGTTCTGCATTTGATTTTTACATGGGGTTATGATATCATTGACGTAGTAACCTACAGGTATAGCCAAAATTACACAATTGCCTAACCCTGACATCACTATCAACTACGAACTCGGTAACAAATGTTTATTACAACTGAAGAATAAAAACGAATGATAACCTGATGATCCTCATATGAAGGGTTGTAAGACGCACCACTTGGAAGCACCTCAACAGCTGGGACAGGTGTCTTGCTAAGGTGCTGACGACGACACTGAAATCAACAATCGTTTGGAATATTCATTTATGTAATATCTTGCAATTCATTCAATAACTTAACTAGATAATTAACCATCCTTATCTTATGTCCATTTTAACACATTCTCTTAACAATTATTCCTTCTGTACATGACCATCTTGGAAATCAGGGTTGTACCCAGGTGTACAAAAATGGACCAACTGGGATATGTCAGCAGTGAACTTAATCACTCTTCAAAGTGGCAATCCCATCACAAGCGAACATACACACAAGATGCTCTACATAGATAAAGTCTCATTATGAGGGTTAGGGAGTGGAGTTGGTCATGAGAAAAAATCCTGTTATTGTTACAGGAATTGATCCCAGGACCCTGGGCATGGAAAGCAAGTATTTCACCACCAAGCAATTCAACTCCACATGGGGTCGCCTTGAACCCAACAGGATAAAAGGGAAGAGCAGATTGGGTCGGGCATTGTAGGTGTTTCGATGTAAAGATTAAGATTCTCCTTTATATTAAGATTTATGACAGAAAATAACAATTTATATTTAATACATTTTTGACTGGAAAATGTGGAACTCTCCCTGTACATTTTAATATCCCTTTTCAATATTTAATCTTGCACGGCATTTTAAACATAATTTTTTCCCTTTAATAATTAGAACTTGTAATTTTAACACTGCCACTTTGAATATTGATTCTTACTCTCTTTAAATGCCGATACATTTTTTATGTTGATTTGAAATTTTGTTGAGATTTAAATGTAATTTTGTATAAAGAATAATATAGTATAATGACCCTGTGTACCATACACAATGTATCTCAGAATTATTAATTACAGTAAATGCTAAATTTACAATTGTTTGCATTGTTAGTACTACTCACCTTCACACGTTTCTGTTTTGTAATGGTCAAATAATGGCCACCATCATCAGGCGATTTCACATTGTCTACTTCTTTACCTATGATAAACAATTAAGCATCTATGTTAGACACTCTGAGGTGCTTAAGCTTATAGAGTGATAGCTACCATACAATACAACCTCCCATTTACAAACACTCTGATTTACAACGTAACAGGGGGACCATGTCTCCCAGAAATCGCAGGGATCTCCCTGAAATTGACATAGCCTCCCACATTCATGTCTTCTGGAAACTAAACGATCTCCAGCAAATTTATCATTCTGTATTCTTCAACTGGATCACAATGCTGCAAACAGTCCAGACAATTGATATAAACTGCTCTCATGGCCACCAAGTACTGCTATAAATTAAAGCTGCCACTCAATGCTTACACCCGAGGGTCGTTAGCCGATGCGATGCTATGGAGAACACAAGGTCACGACATGTGCACAATGGATCGTTTTTAATGACAAAAACTTCAGACTGCCACCGACAGTTACCAGACAGCATCATTCAGCGCTCGCAGGGAGCGGAGTTGGAGTTGTCATATTACGACTGTTGTACAAGTGTCAAGCTTAACATTATTTCAATTTAATCAAATGAAAAAACAATGAAAAACAAAAACATTTTTACTTGAAAATCTGCATGAAGATTGATTTAATTGGAATAAAATTCTGCATGCCTAAGTGACTTATATTTACAAACATTGAAAATATAAGTTAAGGATATTCTTGAAAGTTCACAGGATACAAAAAGACTAAATTCAATTGTACAGTATAAAAAAACAACTTTACACTATATTATATGTTACTATAGATAGTAATTATTATGGTAATTGTTATAATCATGAATGTTTATTGTACTGTTTTCAAATATTTTTGAATTTTTTATAGTAATTTTATTGTAACTTACCAGACCATAAATCATATTCTTGCCGACCACTTTTTCTGGATTCCCCTTGCCTTTGTTTTAGTTGCTTATGTGTCTGTCTTTGGACAGCAGCCATTTCTAATTTTTGTTTTTTCACTCGACCAATTAAACCCTTCCTTTCTGCTTCTTCTTTTGCTAATACTCGCTTTCCTTTCTTCTTCGGTTTTGTATAAGTTGGACTATGCATAAGAAAAAGTACAATTTATATATAATCCTTAAAACAAGAAAACAGACAAGCAACTCTGCTACAGTATGTCCAGAAAAAAAACAAAAAACTATTCAAATAACTACTACTCTAATGTCAATAAATACATCAAAGTTTATACATCATTTATTTTTCTTTTATCCAAGGCCATTGCTCATAGACATAAATCAATGAAAGAAATTACCACCCCCATTTAATTTTTAATTTATTTTTAGATTTTTAAAAATATTTTGACTTAATGTAAACAGTTGTTTATGCTCGGTATTAACTTTGTATTTTGATTTATATTGTTAATATATCATTTTTATATTGTATTATCTGGGTCAAACCTCTCCTGTGCAAGAATGTTCCTCCATTTTAAAGGAGAGTAACAATAAATCGTATCGTATCATATCTCACCCAGGGATGTAGTTATAGTGGCCGGGGCCACTCATCCCTGAAGTTTTTCACCAAGTCTAAAGCTAATTTCAGGCCTTATACCCACCCTTAATAATCCACTTTTCCATCCTTAAAATCCACTTTTATTATTTAGAGTTTACCAATGTTATCACCCACCCTTAGTTTTCTACAGCTACAAACCTGCTCACCTGTGGACTGGTGGTATAAATGGATTGGGCGTCAAGTTTCTGTGGCATTTTAATGGTTTTTCAACTTTCACTCTCTTCCTCCTGCCTTTTGAATGTTCTGGTTCTGTAAAACCACAAGTGTATCAATTTTCACTACTGCTCATCATCCACTAAATGTGGAGTAAGGAAGTAACAAATAAGCTGAATCATGCAACTTAAACCAAACCAATAAAACAGAATAAGCAATGACTAACAATATGATAGGCCTATCAAACTGAAAATTAAAACAAATATTTCTTCGCTAATTTACTAATAAAAAGAATACTGTTCATACATCGTCTGCATCTGAAATGAACAATTAATCTTTGATCCATTCTATATAAATTTTATTTATATAGAAAACAAACAACTCTACCTTCTATAGCAGGCTTAGATTCTACAAAGAACAAGTTTTCATCTTTCTTTTCTGAAACCAAACCTCTACAAGAAAAAAATATTTTAATTGTTTATTATATGCACAGTTTTATTATCAATATACAGTATTTGGATATTACAAACTTGTAAAATATTTCTTAATTCAATACCCAAGCAACAGCAAATGCAATGCAATATAAATGTCAACAAACACTTTTGAGGTAGACTGTTATTGTTATGCTGACCATTTACTGGACAATTACAGTACAGTATACCCAGCCGGGATCTGCTTCAGTGTCAACGTAGACGTAGAAATTACAAACGAAAGGTAGGCAGTGGCTAGAAATACAGTGCCATACCCTATCTCGGTAAGTAAGTGTTGAGTGTCCCTAGCTGTTGCCAACCTTAAACTTATTTATCATACTATATTAGTTAAGATTATTAATGTAGATTGTTGAAGGCACCGTCAAATTGACGAGTGCCACTGTTTCAACCTAGTGTAGGCCTATCTGGCCTTTCCTAAGCCTAGGCCTTGTGACCAGTCCTGTGTATGAAACACTACAGTCTGGTAAGTAGGCCTACCTAGGCCTATGTCCTAGCATGCCTTGGCCTATCCACACTTACCCGGTTCTAAGCTGCATTCGTTGGTCTTCAAGAAAGTCTTCGACATCTTTAATATCAGTATGTTTTCGCCATGCTTTCTTTCTGTTCTTGGCGAATCTTTTTCGAGGCCCTTTTTTAATTTGAAGTTCAGTCATATTATGTTTTTATTCTAACACCCCGAATAGGTATCCATCCAGCCACAACCTTGCACACGTTTTTTTACGATACAGATTTCATCACGCAACCCCTACCCCCTCTATAGTTCAATCAGTGACGCGAAAAACTTTTGTCTTTAAATTTTTACAGTATATCAATAATGATTTTGCAAGAGGAAATCTGAAAAAAAAAAATGCTGTACATTTGAAAAAACAAAAATACATTTTAAATGGATCTGGCCAACTTTGGTAACTAAAATCAATATGAAATATATATTGATTAATCACTTTGTAATTGTCAATTGAATCATTGACCCATTGAGTCTGAGATTTGAAACGACCACCTCAAATTGTTGAAGTGGATGACTCTAACCCCCACCCCTCCTTTTTTTTTTAAATCTCCGGCACAGCAAGAGTCCTGCTACATGATGCCGTCGTAGAACACACCGTAAATCGCCGGGGAAAACTATTTCAACATAATTATTATTAATATTCATTCTCCTGACCGTATACAAATAGGCCTATAATAATCTCATAATTGGATTTTATTGATTAACAAACGGTGACTAATTTGCATATTTATTACAATCAGAAAACTTTGGTAATAATACTGAATCATCAATGTCATATTTATTATTGGAAAGATATAGGCCTACGTTACCACTAAAACATGGACAAAAAAAATATTGGAATGACACCTATATGCCGCAGTATTTCTAATATTACTAAAGGATATTGTCGATAATAAATATAACCTGGCACAGGAGTAATATTATTCAAGAAGAATTTCCATCGCCTCCCAAGGTAAGGCTGCGGTTGTTGACGTTGACTCTAAGTTTGAGCGTCATTTCAAAAACTGCTGTGATTATGTTTCTTCTTATCTCCTGCTTTTGCACAGGGATAGACTTGCCGTATTCGCGCGAATAAGCGCCAGGGCACTTTAAATATTTTTGGCTCTTTTTGAGGGACGCTTATGGAAGTAGATGAAAAGTGAAGGGGGTGCTTATGGGAAATTGGGAATCAAGGGGTACTTTCTTTTCATCGAAGATAAACGAATGGTTTTGGTGAAGTAAAGGTGATCGTCGAGCGAGCATGGTTCATGACAAGAATGTTGGTGGTATTTACACAACAGCAGATGAAATTATTGGCTGTGGTGGTGGTGGTGGTGGTAAGCGTTTTGGCCATCTGCCAATTCAGATTAGCAGGATCATTGTAGGGTTTCTTGCTTAGATACGAGAGAGATGGTCAGTTTTTTTTTTGTTGACTGAAAACGGCCATACAGTATTTTAATTTTTAAATATTAAATACTGTAGTTCTAAATCCAAAAATGGTAGCAATACAACAAGAACGGGATTGTAAAGATGCATCAAATCAAAACTGAAAACCATGTTAAAATTAATATGGAGACTGATAGACCGACAGATGGATAGATGGACTGACCGACCGACAATGCTAACATAGATGCGAATATTTGATGCGGAAAATTAAATTGGTGATGTACTGTACTGTATGATTGAATTTTTTAGGACGCTAATTCAAGAGGGGCGTTTATTGAAACGGGGCGCTTATTCGCGCGAGTAAACGGTAGGTAGTGGTTCTCTCTTTTCTATTTTGAATATTAGTAAATGGGTATTTAAGCATGCATGTTAAAGTAATTTGCGTTTTCTGGAGTTTCAAACGAGCTACAGCTAGGTGAAACGCAAAAATTACATTGAAATACGACACATTGAATGTATCCTTTGCAAACCAGTGTTGTGTTGGCATCATGGCTCGCTATAAGGCAGACACTATTATATATATGTATGTATATATGTATATGTATATGAAATTATGATGAGGCAAAGATACGAAAACACCATCAATGGTACACTAGAACAAAATCATAAAATATGTGATTCAAAATAAGATTAAGGTTAGAAATTTTATTACTAAATAGTTTCGGGGCACAATATGCCATCTTACAGATGAAATTGCCAAAACATTGCCCGTGTATCATTGTATATTTATGTAATAGGCCTATTATATTTGTATTATGTATGTATGTATCACATTATTTAAAAAAAAGTGTGCAGCACTTCGGTCTATGCTTAATCTTCTTTAAACGTTGTCCAAGCAAAGACCATATCAGAGAAATGCATACCATTGATGTCATTCTACATATTTTGAATATTAATAAATGGGTATTTAAACATGTATAAGAAATTTGCGTTTTCTAAAGCGTTTATATGAAGTATTGTATTTGTGTCTAAGACCACATTCCTTATTTAAATACAAAATTAATTAGGTCAGTTTTGGGGATAGATTTATACTCAACCACCATTGCAAACAATGAGTCTGGGTGATCTGCATGGATAGGTGTTTGTAGGTCCAACAAAGAGTCCAACTTGGAACAAATATCAAAAAGTATATATAAATTGTTTCTAAAATTTTAAGTATAAATTACTCAAAAGTTAGGTTTTGGGCTGATACCAATATAAGAATTATACCCAATATGCTAAAGTGCAGCTATTTTAGAAAGAATGAAAGCCTACATTTTTCTGACATTCTACATAACATACAAATAAACTATAGAAACTTCTAGAAAATTTTCCTCAAGATGAATTTTTATGCGGGTTTTGGACTCTAAAATTGTATTAAACAAACCATGATTACTACTAGCATCACTTTGCATCACTACCATTAAAAGCATGCTATGTTGTCATAGTTATACTGCATGGTTTTCTGGGTTAGTCTACCTATTAAATTAGCCCAATTTGGCTTATATTGATAAATTTACAAGAAAGTATAATACATACTCCAAGTATTGAAATACACGCCATCGTGTTGGGATTCAATATTTCGACATTAATTATGTCATCATCAGGAATGAAAAAATTATCCATATTAGCAAGCTTATAATATATGCACTAGTACCAAAAGTGTTTAACCAATCAAAACATTACCTCTAGTAGGTGACATAGCTTCTTTAAACAATAGGATAGACCAGTTGCGAGAGCTGTGAATAATGTTAGTACTAGAAAATATTAAACCTAATTTATTACTTACATTACAGACGACATTATCATTTTCAAGTATCCCTCGGCGATCTAATTCTTATCCTATTGTTTAAAGAAGCGTTCGCTATACGTAGACAGAATTGTTTTAATAGTTTTCATGTTCCTGTATAAAATCACAATCTAATCCCTCGGCGATCTAATTCTTAGGGACTATAAAAAGTGTTTTGAAGAGGCATGACCAATGTTTTCAATTGTTTTTCAATTTCCATTGCATCTTGTATCCATTGGCAAAAGGTGCGTAACAGTGCAACATTAATAATTTGTGTTATCTAATGCAATAGAGGAGATTCACTTTCCCTGTTGATACGGTACCATCACGCACCTTTTGCCAATGGATACAAGATGCAATGGAAATTGAAAAACAATTGAAAACATTGGTCATGCCTCTTCAAAACACTTTTTATAGTCCCTAAGAATTAGATCGCCGAGGGATTAGATTGTGATTTTATACAGGAACATGAAAACTATTAAAACAATTCTGAACGTTTTCTAGAAATACAGTTGTAGGCATATCTGCATATTTTTTCGGTCTAAATATAAATGAACATTTATACACAAGTATTTCAAGCTAATTTATGTGCCTATCTTACGCATTGCATAGTAATTGTAGTAATGTTTTTGAGTATCTATTATAAAAAAAATCTAAAATTAAAGGCCCAATTAAAGACAACCTTTCTGCAACCCCAAATTAAAACACTGAGCTTGTGGTAATTAATTGGAGGGAGACCTGCAGATTTATTAGTGCTCACAAAAATGATATCTATGATCAGAGTTGTGTATCCAAGATTTTGAAAAGGGGGTTGCTGAATAAAAATATTACCTCGCTGAACGTTACACAAGGCAAGCAACTAGAACGGAGCATATCGAAGAGGCTACGACTACACCATACATTAATGTTAACGTCTTACTCTGCCTTTTATTTCAATTAATTTACAATTTATATTTGTTTCAGCTTTAAACAAAAAGGTGGTTGCTCAGTTATGAAAATGATATACACAATACTCATATGCTGGTATTCATATGCCTATCTTACGGAATACATCATAATTATGTGTCTAAAATAGTTCTAAGTATTTATTATAAACGATAGTATTAAAAGTAATATATAGGCCTATGATGATATAAATACAATTTATCTATACTTCAAAAATTAAACAAAACCATGATTACTAAGCATGTTTTTTGCATCACTACCATTAAAGGTATGTTATATTGTCATAGTTACAGCATGGTCTTGGTTAGTCTACCTATTTACTAACCCAATTTGCTTTATATTCATAAATTTACATTTACACAACCTATTCGTTAATGTGTGCAAACCTATTCGTGATGTGTCCCCACACTTGCAATATACCTTTTTGCTAAGCCCCGCCCCGTGGATGTTGTTACTATGGTCACACGCGCCTATTCCAGGCCCTATTCTGGTTGGTCATTTTGTTAAGTTTGGATCCGGAAGGTTCATTTATCACTGAATTTTATGCAAGGCATAAAACTGACACTGACAGAGCATATCGATAGCTATGACTATACCATATATTTTATATTTTATTTTTTGAACTCGAGAAAACCCCTTGGTTACGCCATTGATGATAATGATATACACAAATACTTTTGTGTTGGTATTTATATGCCTGTCTTACGGAATAGGCGTACATGATAATTATGGGTCTATATTATATATGATGGTATTAAATGTAATATACAGATGATATTGAAATTCATCTATAATTCCATAACAGTCATATTAATTATTCATGTTGAAATTGCCATTTATTTCCATTAATTTACTATTATTTTTCACGTTTGAACATAAAGGTAGGGGAGGGGGTGCTAAGGTACCCTGAAACCCCCCTGGTTACACCATTGATGGGAACGATTCACAAAAATACTCTTTTGCTGGTATTTATATGCCTATCTTACGGAATACATGATAATTATGAGTATAAAACAGTTCTGAGTATTTATTGTAAATGATAGTATTAAAGTAATATATATGATGTACTGAAATACAATTTATCTTTAATTCCATAACAGTAATATCAATGATTTATTTTAGGATCTAGGCCTATGATTACTAGAACCTTGAATCGGAATTAAAGGAAGCGTTGGTTTGTTGTGTAAATTCACTTGAGCCGATATTACTCATCTCTCCCCCACTGTTCACCGTGTACTCGGAACGTGTATGAAGACTCGGGAAAAACTTCGGTTTCCGAATTCCGCACTTCTTGAACCATGCCTTCCACACGTCTTTGCATTCTTTGCGCATAAAGCAGAACAACACAAAGATTGCCACGCCTTGAAATGTGTTGAAGATGCAGAACAAAACCAAAAACACCAACTGACCATCGTGATCAAAAGACAGAAACCCGAAGATCCAGGTGAGCCCCAGCAAGCATGAAATAGCCACTGCGTTGATAAACCGCTCTCTAATCTCTTTGTGTGAATGATCAACAATTTTTCCTTGGGTGTTTTTGAATATCTTTCTGACAACCAAACCAAAAACAACGCAGTTTCCAAAGATAATAACACTTACTGGCACAACAATTCCTCCGATTAGGGCACCCTTCTCAGTACTGTTGATGTAACAACTAAATGAAATAATATTAATATTATATATAATGATTATTAAGTAACCAGCTTATAGTTATAATAATAAATTGTACATGAAGTATTATAATATCATTATTTTATTACAATAGTATTTATATTATCTTGCAAATTCTATTATAGTAGGCCTGGTTATAAGTAATGAATGACACCTATAATAATATAAGAAAAAAAAATTTGTATTAAAGTTTGGTCATTACTTACTATTTATCGTTATTGTAGAAATCTTTATCAACAGACAGCATAATGATAATTGGAATCCACGGTAAGCCTGTGTTAAAAAATAGTATTGTTTCTCACTTTTTCTTAAAAATTCACATCAGTCGCTATCTCAATACTTGAGACCACCATTAGAACTTTGAGTCTCTAATTAAGGAGTATGCGTTGTGTTAAAAGACTAAAGATTGGTAGGTACTTTGAAAAAGTGGTCTCGAATTTGACTGTAAAGTAAATAAAGTGCTGCAATGTATGTATGTATATCATAATTAGAGTTTACCCTCCAATTCGAGACCAGTCAAATTCGAGACCACTTTTTCAATGGTAAATGGTATTTAGTTTCGTCCGCGTTGTTTTATTTTACGTTACTCATTTTTCCCGGTTTTCTTCTGTTATATGTATTCCATCGCTACAATTTATTTAGTATTAGTAAAAATACAGAAAAAAAGCGAAATTCACTCTGATCTTCCTGAAATAGCGATATATAAGTGCAAAAGCTATAGGGCCTAATGTATATTTAATTGCGATATAGTTAGTAATGGACTCTTCCAAATTTCTCGACTGGTTTGTTGTAACGTACTGGTCTATAAGCAGTCAAACGTCGATAATACCAGGCAAATGTGAGCTGGGAACCGTTAAACTACTCAGTTATTTAGCTAATGAATTCTTTTGTTTTATAAAATAAATTGAAAACTTAATTGGATAAAAAACCTCACCCCATGCAAGTGCTAACGAGAATTTCATGAACCTCGAAGTTGGCTGATTGAAAACGGCAATAATTAGGTAGTATATATTGGCCGCTTCCACGGCCGTCCATGCAATCGTCGTCAGTAAAAAGTAGTGAAGAAACACGGCAACAGTAATACATCCTTTGCTTCCCTTTCGAGCAGTATCGACACCAAATATAAAAACGATGTAGAGAAACAACATCGACAAACACAGGTTAACCATTATTTGTTGAGGTTGACGGCCTCGAATCGATCTAAATTCAATAATAAGATTAACGTTTTAATAGTTAAAACACATTTTATTTCTTTGCAATAAAATGATTGCCATTATGTGATAACACTATTAGATATTATGTGATATAAAAATCATAAATAATAACACCATTATTTAATATATATTTAATCGTGTCTAACACTTGCCAATAAACAAGATGCAAATACTATTGTGCTCATTTTATTACATTCCACTATTAAAAAACTCCATAATATGCAATACTCTGTAATTTAAGCGTAATGGTGCTCTATTACTCTAGTATTCACATGGTGCATTATACGGTGTGCAGTAAATTAAATATTAAATAAATTAAATTGAAATAGGCCTATTGTTTTCAAGCAACAAATAAATTCTTGATTTTTTTTTTCTTTCCCATTTTCAATGATATACAGTATAATATTCTCCAGTTTCGATATCAGATTGTCCAACCTAATTAAATTAAGTATGAATAGAATTAAAGTGACGCTAAATTTCAACCTAAACAGGAAAGGCCAGTAAATACAGCATTTTACTTACTTGCTACCAAGAACGGTTACTATAGTAATGATGAGACCGATGATTGACATGCTACAACCAATGTAAGTGACAATGCTCAAAAATGAAGATTCATTAGAATTTGGAAACTGTAAATGAAATGTATTTTGTAAACTATTTTTAACAGAATTAAACAGAAAATAGGTAAATTAAATTGGAATGGAACAGCCAAAAATAGGGTATTCGATATTAAATATATTAATGTTTAATGATATTCATTGTAATCCCTAATTAAAATGTTTAGGCATATCTAGATCTCAAAGTACTCATATAAATATGGTTGCTCGTTGCTAGCTAATAAATGATGGATTAGAACCTCACCCAGTTCTGATATGAAAGGCCTGGGTGCGATAAGATTTCCATTTCGTACGCATTAAATTATTGGGCAATGGTAAATGGAATTTAGTTTCATCTGCGTTGTTTTATTTTATGTTACTCATTTTTCCCGGTTTTCTTCTGTTATATGTATTCCATCGCTACAATCTATTTAGTATTAGTAAAAATACAGAAAAAAAGCGAAATTCGCTCTGATCTTCTTGAAATAGGATATATAAGTGCAAAAGCTATAATGTATTTAATTTGGATATAGTTAGTAATGGACTATAAGCAGTGAAACGTCGATAATAGCAGAGAAAGGTGATCTGGGAACCATTAAACTACCTTACTCAATTTAGCTAATGACTTCTCTGGTTATATTAAATAAATTGAAAACTTAATTGGATAAAAAACCTCACCCCATGCAAGTGCTAACGAGAATTTCATGAACCTCGAAGTTGGCTGGTTGAATACGGCAATAATTAGGTAGTATATATTGGCCGCTTCCACGGCCGTCCATGCAATCGTCGTCAGTAAAAAGTAGTGAAGAAGCACGGCAACAGTGATACATCCTTTGCTTCCATGTCGAGCAGTATCGACACCAAATATAAAAACGATGTAGAGAAACAACATCGACAAACACAGGTTAACCATTATTTGTTGAGGTTGACGGCCTCGAATCGATCTAATTTAAATAATGAGATAACGTTTTAATAGTTAAAACACATTTTATTTCTTTGCAATAAAATGATTGCCATTAATGTGATAACACTATTAGATATTATGTGATATAAAAATCATAAATAATAACACCCATTATTTAATATACATTTAATCGCGTCTAACACTTGCCAATAAACAAGATGCAAATATTATTGTGCTCATTTTATTACATTCCACTATTAAAAAACTCCTTAATATGCAATACTCTGTAATTTAAGCGTAATGGTGCTCTATTACTCTAGTATTCACATGGTGCATTATACGGTGTGCAGTAAATAAAATATTGAATAAATTAAATTGAAATAGGCCTATTGTTTTCAAGCAAAAAATAAATTCTTGATTTTTTTTTTCTTTCCCAATATCAATGATATACAGTATAATATTCTCCAGTTTCGATATCAGATTGTCCAACCTAATTAAATTAAGTATGAATAGAATTAAAGTGACGCTAAATTTCAACCTAAACAGGAAAGGCCAGTAAATACAGCATTTTACTTACTTGCTACCAAGAACGGTTACTATAGTAATGATGAGACCGATGATTGACATGCTACAACCAATGTAAGTGACAATGCTCAAAAATGAAGATTCATTAGAATTTGGAAACTGTAAATGAAATGTATTTTGTAAAATACTTTAAACAGAATTAAACAGAAAATAGGTAAATTAAATTGGAATGGAACAGCCAAAAATAGGGTATTCGATATTAAATATATTAATGTTTAATGATATTCATTGTAATCCCTAATTAAAATGTTTAGGCATATCTAGATCTCAAAGTGCTCATATAAATATGATTGCTCGTTGCTAGCTAATAAATAATGGATTATTCCTAATCACAAAATACGACAGCCTGTTTGATTAAGCTGTAATGTTTACATTATTGACATAAATTTAGGCGTCAGATCACGTCATGAACAAAAAAGCATATTACTAACAAAATGTATTTATACACTTACAATTAGGACTGCAAAGTTTGTCAAGTGGGTACATTCGCAAGTTATCTGTTGGTTTTTAGATACGCCAGCAAGTTTGCAGCCTTCAAAAGACCAATTGCCAAATTCATTCAGAGTTGCATTCCAGAAAGCACACTTGTACTCATTGGAGGACGAATTCTAGTTATTGAATAATTCATATCAAAATATTGTTTTAAAAATTATTATTTTGGATAGAAATAAAATGATTATAAATAATTGTGTACTGCCTACCATTTTTATTGTTATTTCAATTACACACAGTACAGGTCTTCCTCCAGTTGGAGACCACATTTGGGACTGGGTTTTTACGGTGTTTAGCCACTTTGGTCATTAATTAGAAAAAAAATCTTATAAAAATGAAAGACAGTTTCTCTATTGGGGCTTAAAAATGGAGGGGTCTTTAATTTAAGGGAGACCTGTATAAGCAAGTATTATACATTTTTATGTGTAGAGTAAATGGTATAAACTGTGTTCCAAAAAACAAAAAAAATACACGAATATTTTTTTCAATAATTATTAACATGTCAATGAATGAACATGTGAATCTTTAATCATGCCCCACATTCCTTGATCCTCATATATAATTATCACATTATGTACACACGTAAACAGAATATCGAATGTACATGAACTTTGAACACAAAAGTTAACACATACTGTAGGTGGCATTTTAACATTTTTTTTACCGTAATTAATTAATTTTTCATTGTTTGTAAAAGTTTTAAATGATAAATATCTCGACTAGAAGAGTAAAGTCATTACAATACATCGTTAAAGTAAAAATAGGAAGCGATGGTTTCTGATATTGATTTAACTAGTAGTCTAAACATTAATTTGTATACAAGGCAGAAACACCAAAAATATGAAAAAATGCCGAATGTAGTCAATATGTTTATAGAAAACCCTTATTTATTGAAATACTGAACAATTGTTTGATTATTGTAAATCACAGGTGGGCAAAGTGCGGCCCGTCAGCAATTTTTTGCGGCCCGCGACAATGAATTCAAGACCCTATGTTTGCGGCCCGCTAATCAAAATTAGCTAGAAAACACCTTGATTGTTTATGGCCCGACACCAATCTTATGTAAAAAGTAACATTAACTGAGAATAAAGTGATGTAAATGCAGTACTTGGAGGTTTTTGGAAGCTCACAGGAAACATCAAAGTTTGGGTGCGGCCCTCGGTGTTAAATCAAAAATTCAATTTGGCCCTTGGACCGATTTTTATGCCCACCCCTGTTCTAAATGCATTATTAATTTTTCTTTACCTAAAAACAAGCCTGTATACATAATGAATATTTCATTAAATATTTCAACATATAACTTGCATTACCTCTGGTGCAGTGAATGTCAGCTCAACTGGATCTTCAAATACCGATGGTAGAGCATCTTTTGTGTACACAGTTGCAGCTAAAACGGTCCCTGTTGTGTTTCTGCCGCTCTTACTTTTAACACGAAACAACTTGTCGGTTTTATAAATAACAAAGCTTATATTCACGTCTTTGCCTAAACAAACCCAACATAATGCAACGTCATTCGTAAATTAATGAATTGTAAAAAGGAAGGACCACATTGGAATTAAGCTGTCTTCAGCTTCATGGGTTATCCTTGTATTTTGTCATGGTTAATTTTGAGTACCCAATAAAACAAACAACAAACAAAAGAAATATCTCTTTATTAACTTATTTTTCCTTCAACGGCGTATTTTGTCACTTACAAGAAGGAAGTGATGATTTATAAAATTGAAGTCACACTACGATGTAGTCATATAAAATTTACCGTACTTTAGGTCGAGGTGTACGTAGACTGGCTCGTACCGTCTAACTCTTCGTTTCTGAGCTACCGGAAACTGGTACCAACTATTCTTGGCTGTCCACAGCAATTCATTTTTTATACAATACAATAATGATTGAAATACATTATTCAAAAATTAAACCAAACTACTAAACTTCTGTTCCGCGTATATTACGAGCATGTTATACAGTATTATCAAATACCCCAATTAATATTACATTTTTGATTTGGCATGCAATTGTGAACAAATATATGTAACTGTTGTTTTGGTTTATCAAGAAGAATTTTCTATAAGGTACTTGCCTTTAGAAATCTGTAAGATGCTTTTTGGTAAAGCTATTGAAAATGCCACATTTTCACTGCATTTACTACCAGCACATACACGGGTATCTGTACTATTTTCAGCAACGACGAATTTTAAGCTACTCTCAATTGCATTTGAGTGAAGATTTAGCGTTTGCACCGCGATGTTTTCTTCGACTTGCGTGTAATTCATACCAGAATTTGCAATCACACCCACCTGTCCTTCAAACGAATTGAGTATACTAGCGGTTGTCTGAGGCGGTACCTTTAGGTCTGTGGTTCCAACAACCTCATCGACAATACTAACAACAGCGTCTGTAACCTGTTAAAAGTAGCTCTGTATATTATACTTCCATACATAGCTTTATTTACATTTTTATTACAGTATTTACCGTCTTATCAAAAGCTCTGTGTTTTGTTATTCAGGATGGAAAACTATATTCAAACTTTAGCTCTTTCTGGAGACTTTGAATTGTTACAGTAACTTTGATAGATATTTTTTTAGACTTGAATCACCTGAAGTTTGATTATGAAAGCACACTAATATAATATATAGCTCTATTAGAGATTTCAATAGTTTTACACAAGATTATCATTAACATTGTACTATATAGTCTATATATAATATGTTATTTACTAAAAGACTTTTCGCTTATAAAACACAAGCATCATACGTTTTCATTAGTTGAACCCAAACTTGTGATATTTTCTAAAGCCACAGACGTAACTACCACATCTACCGGCTCCAACACGTCAACCTCCTCTAAATACTGGTCCAACTCTTGACTTACATCTTCCACGTTTTCTTCGGTCACCTCCTTAAAAAAGAACAATTCATAAAACTTGATTATGATATTTTTGTAAAACCGTTCTCAAAATTGGTTAGTTGATATATTTGTAAAATGCATATCGCAATATCGTCTCTGTGCACCGAAAAACCACAGCCTAAGTGCACGAAAAAAAAAAGAATGCAATACCAAAGAAAATGGGCAAAGTTCAGAATTAAAATTAATAGAAAAGATGGGACTTGAGCTGAAGACAGAGGTGAAGGTAATTGCGGTCACCATGGCAACAAAGAAGAAACGATTTCCACAAGTTTTAAGGTGACCAATAGGACAGTTAGGAATGGTGTTGTAGATGAGGAAGATCTCAGTGGGTAAATTAGAACGTAGTGGAATTACATTGGGCATATAAGAGGATGAATTATGGAGTGACTTGTGTACAAGAAACAACATGTTGAAGTTGATTTACAGATGAATGGGTAATCATTGGAGACGATGCAGAGTGGGAAATATATGCTCATGCTTAATAATAATAATAATAATAATAACGAAAGCGTCGGTTCATACGCATGCGCATTCACATTTCTCTCGGGTTTTTGCAAAACGAAATGCGCAACCAATCAGAGCTCAGGAAGCGAACCGACGCTTTGATTCGCGCTAATAAATTCGCCTAGTGGAAAACCGGCCTTATAAGTGAGAGCAATGAGTCTGACTTCTACATTTAACTGCAGCTGTAATTTTTCCAGCAGTTTCCAGGGCAACACATAAAGAACACGTACGATGCTTAGTATGGCAGCTCCAATTTGTTTTTCCCTATTTGATGTAATTCATTTAATATGTCACTTAACCAAAGAATTGTTCCTCATGAATGGAAATTAGCTAACGTTATTTCTTGACTGGATGAAAGCTATTAATCGAGCTATTAAACCTTCATTCATTTTACTGCTGTGGATGTCATCCTTTTTTTTCATAACGGCAGCTTAGGGTTATAGCTAGGTGGACTCCATTTGATTCTGAAATTCCACCAAGGGTCTATTCTTGGCCTTCCTCTCTTTACAGTATTAAAACTTGTTTTTGGTCTTCCGATATTTATTTCATCTCAATATGAATACAATTCGGTGCTATGTCCATTTCGATTGGCTGGTCAATAAGATTAAAAAGTTGATTTTAATTCAAGTACTTGACAAGCGCTGCAAAAGAAGAGGGGGGAGGGGTCGAGACTAGTCTGAAACAGTCCCTAACAAAATGAGGCATTACTCAAAAGCCGAAGGACTGATGATGTGGAGAGAATACTCCTGATAAGCATAGCCTTACTACCAATATCATCGGATTTTCTTATTTATTAAAGATTATGCACGTACCTACCTGTCTCATGTTCCAACACCCTATACATGCCTAGTTCATCAAAGTGCAAAATAATGTTTAAGTGCATGAGTATACATTATGGATCTGATAGTTATTACATCATAATTATTTATTTAGAAAGCAAAAGTTTATGCTATAAGCTTTGAACATTCTTGGTAATATGTTGGGTAGAATGAATAGTTAATAGTGTTTCTGTTTTTTAAAGGTTTACCTAAGGTATCGGCACGGTTGAATACGAAAAATGAAATAAGAATTTGTATATCATATCGATTTGACAATAACAATCATACCTGTGTTATATTTTTAATTTTAGTAGCTGTTTCACTCTCTAGAAAAGAAAAATAACCAAAGGTTAGCTTGTATAAGCTCGCCATATAAAGTTATCACATGCTAAATTCTTATATTTTTATAGATTAATCTTCGTTCCTACGTTATCAAACATTTCCATTATCATGACTTTATAAACTTTTACGATTTCAATAAAGTAGTATTATCGATTATCGATTTTCAGACACTGTCGGTTCTTAGGCACGCCGATTTTCGGGCACACTCGATTTTCCGGCAGTCAATTTTCAGAAACACTACACTGTAAAACAGCGTGGAGCATTTAAACACAAAGCTCCACGCAACGTTGTCCCGTTTTTGGTGACACGTTTAAAAGCTAAACGAACGTGTTTTAAGTCCGGCCTAATGTGTTTAGGTTTCTGACGTATTTAGCATTAGATATTCTTAGGTATATTGACATCATAATGTCAAATACCTAAGCACATTTAATGCTAAACACGTCAAGATCCTAAATACATTAAGCTATGTCCAAACACGTTTAGCTTTTAAACGTGTCATCAAAAATGGGACAACATTGCGTGAAGCTTTGTGTTTAAATGCTCCATGCTGTTTTTACAGTGTAGGTTTTCAAGCACTGTCGATTTTCAACTCTGACACTGTCGATTTTCGGTTCTCAGGCATTGTGGATTTTCGAGCACACGATTAATGGTTAATGACGTTATTGTACCATTATATTAATAATACTGTTTTTAAGCTACTCCAGTAGAATTAGTATACCTGCCCCTTTTAACGGCGAGTGTGTCTTGCCTTCTTTTTATTCTATAGATATTCATGAGTGTGGTTTCTACTATTAAAACTCGTTACCTAAACTTGAATAGTGTCCGACAGTGATCTATTTATGTGATTGTAATAATACTGGCGTATAGCTAGCTGTAATTTCATCGTGTGTTTCTCAAGGTTGTTTTTAAATATTTTTAGTTTTTGCATTTCCGTATAATATTGAAAACATTTGCCTATGTTTAGATACTCAGTCTATGTGAAGCCCCGTAAAGTAATGCCAGACAGGATTATAAGGCACAATATTGAAAATTACTACATTACGTTTTAACTGAAAATTAAGAAAGACCTTTGCAATTGAAAAACAAATTATCTAGTAGATGACACAACCAAAGAAGTAAAACGTGAACTGGATATACAGTACGGTAATTGCTAAAATGTTGTGATGATGTAGACATTCCTTATTCATTACACTTAACAACTTTAGTGACTTGAAATTTAGAAAAGTTAACATGGTTATTATGTAGGTCTATTATATATTCTACTATTTAGTGAACATATGCCTTTGTATCACCTGCATTCAGGTAAGTGCTGTGTTCAATATTAACGTAATTCATACTGAATTTTCGCATGTTTTGATTTTGTAGCAACTTTGTTTTATTTTTGTTGATATTTATTGCTCCCATACAACCACAATACAAAATACACATTCAGATTCATACAAAGGATAACTAAAAATGGGAGCAAGATGGGAACTCTATAATTTTGGAAGCTTGTTTCCATAAGGGTTTTCAATTATGATTGCACAGTTGCCTATTTCAAATAACTTCAAATGTATTCCATATAAAAAGTACTCTTTTATCAACATATTGAGATGACATAATGTAATCAATATTATTTTAATACACTGTAACTTGCTTGTATTTTTCTTTTTTTGCAATGGGTTTAATCTACATTCAAGACCTATTAATATTCAGTGGCCACATAAGAATTTGAAATAGTTATTCTTTGTTACACTAACAAGGTAGGTAAATTGTGTATAGAGATTACATGCGACAATGTACGACATGGTAGACGTATGAAGTTTATCTATTTAGTTTTTTGTTTTAACTTTTAAGTAAATTCTACTGCAGACCTATGTACATAGAACCAGAGTTAATGGAAAACTGAAAGCAATGAAAAACAAAAAATAGAGAATATAGGTCAGCAACACCCATAATAGACAAAACAACCAGGTCGATAACATGATAAATTTTGGTTCGGAATGTTAACCTTGGAAATGCGAAATATACCGTATTTGGTTAGGTAGGATAGGAGTATTTTTGGTGTTAAACATAATCAAGCTCAGCGCGTCCAAGGAATTATTTTCAGCGAGGTCCCACTACAATAGTATATGACGACTAAAATGAATGATAGATGTGTCATGCAATGCCGTAGCCAGGATTTTCAAACAGTGCGGGACAATATCAGGGTGGACCCACTTTATATTTTTAGGCTAGATGTAAGAAATCTGGACTCATTTTTTTCAAAAAGTCGACTCATTTTATGCATAAAATTGCAATAATTTGGACCCATTTTAAAAATTTGGACCCATTAGAAAAAGAGTGTGGGACTGTCCCAATAGCTGGCTATGGCATTGGTGTCATGTCATAAGTAATATTTCCAAAATGTGCTCGAAAATTGACAGCTCATCTGTGTCGAAGGAAAATAAAGATTTTGATTTTGTACTGAGCCACAAGAGAAACTGATTAAAGGTGGTATGTATATATACTGTCTCTTATACACATCTAGATGTGTATAAGAGACAGATGTATTACAATAATGTTTTATCAAATGCTATAGTGTAATGGAACTAAATTGAGATGTTTAACAATGCATAAACGCTGTCTCTTATACACATCTAGATGTGTATAAGAGACAGGTATATGGCCTCGTACTGAAAAAATCAAGCAAAAAGCTATATTATCAGCAAAATAATAAAATCATTCTACAGGAACATAAGTAAGATTATTAAGTTAAGATCAAGTACATTTTCGTAATTATTTTTTTAAAACATTATCTCATTTGTGTTCCTGTTGATTCATTTATTATAGTATATATAGTTTTACCAACATATTATATATCTTACTTTCCACTGTTACTAGAAATGAACACGATGCATCATTGTTGACTTCGTCGACAGCTGTGCACACAACGGGAGTGTCGCCGATTGGAAAAACAGAACCAGATTCAGGGTGACACGATACAGTTGGATTACTTGAATAGTTATCCGTCGCCGTTGGTTTTGTGTACTTTACATAAGGCTCCGTCGAAATTATCTCGTCCTCCTGACACACAATTACTGGAAGCTCTGTATCTAATCGAATCAATAAAAATATACTTTTATAAGGGTATAATTTGTATATCAGTAAAACAGCAGTGATTTATTCATCTGGTGTTATACAAACATACGTTTTAAATCATTTTACTATAGATTGATGCTGCACCCGCTTATAACAAAATATCTTTATAAACATGCTTTATGATTTTATCTTCCTACCACATAATATCGCAAGTATAAACAAGTTACAATCCCGGCATAAGCAAAGGAGTTTTTAATATTTAGGATGATCAGCTACAGTTCTAAAATGAAAATAAGCAAAGAAATGCAAGTTTTCAACTCAGATCTTAATGATCTAAATCTTAATGATCCTGAATTTGGCAACACTGGTTACAATTTTACAGTGTGGAACAGCGACTAACCTATGATTACTTGAAAATTGCAGGTAGCATTATTATTAAAGGTATCAGTTACTACGCATGAAACTAGTGTAGTATCGTCGAACAAGCTTCCAGACAAATGGTCACACGTGATATCAACCCCAACTTCATCGGTTCCAATGACGTCGAAATAGACATAACTTGAGGTATTATACGCGTGATCCTCAGGGCAGGCAAAGTTTACTGCGAGAGGAAATGAGTATTTCTGATAAAGCTAAAGCATCATCATATGTTTATAATGTCATCTAAACTAAATTATTTAAATATCTTATAAAGTAAACACATAACATATTGATTAATATAATGTTTTGTTTGGTGTCAGAATAGTTAAAAGGCAAAGACAAGAGCAACTGCAGTTCGCCCTCCAATTCCAGACCACCTTTAGAACCTAAATATTTGGGGTGGTCTCGGGGTTGGTCTCCAATTAGAGGGCTAGCTTTTTGTTAACTGGTTGAAGATAATTATTTGGGTCTTTTGAAAAGTGGTCTCGAATTAGAGGGTTCTCCAATTGGAGGGTGTACTGTGTATATAGGGTGATGTAAAACATTAGCCCTATAGGCATATATCAAAATTAATAAAATCATAAAAGTAACAAATTACAAATAATAGGACTAAAACATCTAGATCTGTAAGAACATATCTGAATAGTTAATGTAGAGAACTACGTGAAACAATATGGACAACAACTTGAAAAACGTATAAATGGAACTACAAAAAGTACATAGTATCAGTCGAAAAGACCTGTGCACAATTTATTCGAACATTTCTCAGAGCATGGACCTATTAATAAGAGGTCCATGCTCAGAGCACTTAAAAATGCTTTATATTTTGAATGTACGTGTTTAAAGAATCGGCTATTTATCACATTTATTAATATCAGTTCGGTTAATGAAATCATGGAGGAGTAAGTTCAGAACTTATTCCTCCATGATGGAATACGACATGATCATACATACAGACATTAACAACAAAAGAACAGTTAGCTGTATTATTGACATGGTCCCTTGCAGTACACGCAACAGTCGTGTCACCAACAGCAAAGTTTGATCCAGAAACAGGAAAACAATCAACCGTCGGTTCAGACAAGTCGTCAAATGCTATTGGCTGGATATAGTTAACCAACGGAATGATTGATGTCACCTGGTCCATACTACAGTTTATCAATGGGTCTTTTTTATCTGCGATATAACATAAAAGATAAAGTGTGCACACATTGTATTGTATTACAGTAATATTTCCTTAAATGCTATGGTGATATATTAAAATTATATATAATCCAGAGGCAACGGAACTAGAGTGAGCAGGTGTTAGGCATTGTTACGAGACGAGAAGTATGGTACAGAAACCAAGGAAAGCCAGCTGATGTTGTACTCAATGTCGGTGCAGAACATATATATTTTTTTAATAGGTGTGGTTTGAAGTGGTGGAATTGTGTGAAGATAGTCGTGTGTAATCTTGCACGACCATCTCCAATTTCTTGTAGAATTTTATTACGGACACAGAGTGTTGGACATGACTGTTGTAGACCACGTATATCACACTTTAAAAGTAGGCGTACATTTTGTACATGTGAGATAGCCGAGCACCAGTAATTCGCAATTAAATATGGTGATTTTAGGTTAACTGCTTGACCATGAT